CATCTCCGCCACCTCCTCCCTCGGCACCACCGCCACACCCCGCCCCGCCGAGCCGGAGCCTCCGGAGCCGGTGTCCACCTCGTACCGCGACGAGCCGTCGCCAACGCCCGCGCCGTCGCCCGCGCCCGCGCCCGCGCCCGCGCCCGCGCCGGAGCCGGAGCCGGCGCCCGCGCCGGCGTCCTACGAGTCCAAGCCCGAGGATCCGCCGGCGCCGGTGTCGACCTCCGCTTCGACCGTCTACGAGGCGGAGAAGAAGAGCGGCATCTTCGGCACACTCGGCAAGGGCATCACGTCGCTTGCTCACGCCGTCGTCCCGACGCCCAAGAAGGCGCCGCGCCGCGATAGATGGACAGATGCGCACTCCTCTTTGCTCGAAGCGGTGCCCCCTCTCTGGGGATTCTCGAGTCGGCAGAGGCCTCGTGTCGGCCTTCTCCCACACACACCCCTCTCCCCACCTGCTCCACCCGCTCCACCACCCCTCACCCCCCGCCGCAGGACTCGGTCCGCGAAGAGAAGAAGGAGTCCCGCCGCGAGGAGGAGGAGCCAGTGGCGCCGCCGGCGGACGAGGTGCCGGAGGGAAGCCCGGAGGAGAACCGCAAAGTGTGGTTTGAGTATGCGGTGGCGACGGGCGACTACACCCTCGCAAACGAGCTCTGGGTCACACCCGAGGAGAAGGCGATCTGCGACGGCCTCAAGACGCCCGCGCCGGCCGGCGAGGTTGACGTCGAGGAGGCTCGCTGCGCGTGGCTCGACTACCACATCGCCGAGGTGCGGCACGGCCGGACGCCACCCCCACCCACCCACAATGGCCCCCCCCCCCCCCCCCACACACCACAATCATAACCACCACCACCACCACCACCACCGCCGCCACCACCACCCCACCCACGCCACGCCAGGCACTGCCTCACACGCGCGCCGCCCTTTCCGCCCCCGCCCCGCGCAAGACCGGACTCCCTTGCGCGCGCTGCTCCGACCCCCCCCCCGCCCCCCCTTTCCTCCTCCCCCAGGGCGAGTTCGGCAAGGCGGAGGAGATGTGCGTCGGCCCCGAGGACTTCGCAAAGGTGAGCGCCGCGCAGGACGCCGCGCGCACGGAGTGGCGCGACTACGAGATGTCTTGCGGCAACTACAAGACGGCGATGAGCTACTCGGTCACCGACGAGGAGATCGCAGAGTGCGAGCAGGCGAGAGACGTGCCGGGGGGGGAGAGAGGCCGAGACGCGCCGCAGTCAGAAGGGGAGCCGCCGGAGCCGCGCCAAAGACGTGCCAGAGAGAGCGCCAGAGATGAGCGGGCGAGGGGTGCGCACGCGCGGCACCCCACACCATGACACCGCGACGTGCCTGACACCGCGACGTGCCCGTGGCTCCGCTCTTGGCATAGGCGATGTTTAAGAAGGAGTGCGAGACGGGGAGCTACAAGAAGGCGCTCAAGCAGGCGAAGACGCCGGAGCAGGTGGCGGAGGTGGAGAAGTACCAGGAGGCGGGGCGCGTGGCGTGGATGGAGTACCACGCCGCGTGCGGCGACACCAGCGCCGCCCTCAAGTACGCCGTCACGGACGAGGAGGAGGAGAAGTGCAAGCAGGCGCTGGCCTCTCCCCTCCCCAGCCCCCCCCGCCCCTCTCCCCCCTCTGGCACAGCCCCCTCACCCGTGCGCCGTGATCCGCCGACAGGCTGGCATCGACAAGTGCGAGTCGAACCGCAAGGAGTGGCTCGCGTTCTACACCGAGAAGGGCGACTACAGGAAGGCGGAGGAGTGCTGCGTCGAGCCGGCAGAGTACGAGGCCGTCGCCGCAAAGAAGGAGGAGGACCGCAAGGCGCGCAGCGCGCGAGCACGCGCGCCTCTCCTCGGCGCACTTCGGGCTCACCTCGGCGCGCTCCCTCTCCCCTCAGGCGTGGCTCAAGTACGCGATCGAGACTGCCGACTACAAGAGCGCCGAGCAGTACGCCGTCGACGAGGCCGAGGCGGCGGAGGTGGCCGCGTCCAAGGCTGCGTACCCCGAGGTGTGCCGCAGCCAGTGGCGCGTCTACTACCTCGAGACGAAGCAGTACAAGAAGGCAAAGGACTGCTCCGTCACCCCGGAAGAAGTCGCGGAGTGCGAGGCCGCCGAGGCGCGGGGCGAGGGCGGTGTCCGCGCGGCGCAGACCGGACACGTCCGTGACGCGTCCGCGACGCTGGCGCGGCCGTAGGCTGGGTCCGAGGAGCAGTCGCGGACGGAGTGGAAGGCCTATTACGTCGAGACGACCCAGTACGAGAGGGCCATCGGCATGTGCATCACGCCGGAGGAGGAGGCGGAGGTGGGCGCTCCCCCGCCGCGCACACCGCGGCCCGCTGTAGTCTGCGAATGCCGCACAGCGGCATGGCCCCTCTCCACGCGCACCTCACGTCACATTCTCGCCGCGGCGGCAGGTGGACGCCTCGTTCGAGGCGGTGCGGCAGGCGCACGTGGCGGAGCTGAAGAAGAAAGGCAAGTACCACGAGGCGAAGAAGTACGCGCTGTCGGACGAGGAGGTCAAGGCGTGCGACGAGGAGGAAGACGCCAACCAGGAGGTGTGCCGCGTCGAGTGGTACAAGTACCACCTCGAGTGCGGCAAGTACAAGGAGGCGAAGGCCCTCGCGGTGCGCGCCTGCCGCCACTCCCCTCCTCGCGCGCCGACACGCCCCCCTCCCCCCCCCCCCCCCCTTTTACCCGCGGTCACCCCCCCCCCCCCCTCACCCCCCCCCCCCTCCGCCAGGTCACGCCCGAGGAGGACGCCGAGTGCGATAAGGCCGAGTCCGAGCAGCTCGAGACGAACCGCACCGCGTGGCTCGGGTACTACCAGGCGGCTCGCTTTGCGGATCTCGGCGGGATCTCGGCGGGATCTCGGCGGGATCTCGGCGGGGTCTCGGCTCACCTGCTCGGCTCTCGGACGCTACAGGAGATCGGCGACTACACGAGCGCGAAGGCCCTGTGCTGCTCCAAGGAGGAGGACGAGGAGTGCAGCAAAATCTTCGATCAGTACCGCAGCGAGTGGTTGCGCTACGCCATGGACAACAAGGACTACGCGCTGGCCAAGAAGTACTCCGTCACCCCCGAGGAGCTCGCGGCGTGCGAGGCGCTCAAGTGAGCGCACGGCAGGCGCTCTGCCCTGGGCTCTCTCGAGCATGGAAGGGCGCCGGCAGCCCCTTCCCCGCCCGCCTCGCGTCGCTGCGGCGAGCGTGCGAGGGGACTGATGTTGGGACTGACGAGACGCTGACGGGCGTGTGCGGGCGTTGGTATCTATTCTGCGCTGCGCGGCGGCGAAGCCGATAGCCTGGGTGATGCTCCGATAAACCCGCCGGATCTTCGACAAAAGCAGGGACATTTCTTTTTTTGGAAGGGTAGGTGTGAATACAGCTTTCTGGTAGGGTTACATCGACGAACTATGCGGCAATCGACTGGGGGGCAGCCCCCCAGCACATCCCGCACAGAGACCTGGATGTAACCCGATTGTGAGCGTGAGTGAAACCGCCGATGCGATTGCTCATTGCTCAGTCAGTGACCGACAGTCAGTCGCAGCAGACTTTGACGATTGGCGGCCTCGCGCCCTCAGTCGCCCTCCTCTACTAACGGCCCTGCCCCAGCCCAGATGCCTCATCCAGGGTGGTGCAACCACTCGCGCAGGGAGGGAGAGACAGTCGGCGATCTGCGCCGCGCAGATGAGCTCCGCCTCGTCTGCGTCGAGGACGTCCACCGCAGGGCTATCATAGCGCCATATGACGCACTGCCTGTTGTTCATTACTTCGCAGGTGCCAACGTCGAGGACAATCTCACTGGTGGCGGCTGCACTCCCGGCCGGCGGTAGGAGAGATGAAGGCTAATGTACTTGGCAGTGTACGGGGCCTTCCGGCGTGAACAGTGCCCCGGGACGAAAGAGGAGGCGACGTCTCTCTCGTCCACGAGCGCCTCGATGTGCGCATCGACGGTGTAACCAGCTTTGAGAGACGGGAACGAACGGCGGTGAATCGCCGACAGGTGCGCCTTCGTTCCTACCACCACTCCCACCACCGCCAGCTCCGCCGTGGACCTTGCCGGGCCCTCTGATGATGTAGTACCGTGGAGCAGCTAGTCCGAGCCGTTGTTGTACTCTGCTGTGGCGCCAGCTCGGTGTACAATACGGACGAAGACGGCCACAGCAACGGTGTAACCAGCGCGAGCAGGCAGCGCGAACCGCTGTGCCTCGGCGCGCCGGCCGCCGAAATCCTCTAATAAGAGTTCTTTGGCATAGGGGAACCCCAACCCTAAATTTTCTTCGCCTGCGGCGGGCCATCACTTGGATTCGCTGCTTTCGGATTCATTAGCTCTTTCGCACGCCTTTATCCGTCACTCCCCCGAAGATTGGAGGTGTTGATTTATGCACAAATCTATGTGTTGCGAGCGCTAGATGGCGAAATTTTCTTCGCCTCCGGCGGGGCCGCTCGCCGCGGGGCTAGAGAGGGACTTTTGTCGATGTCGGCTAGAAGTGCTGCACCTTTTTGAGAATTTCACCCGCCTGATGTCGCGGCTAGAGACCGTGTGTAGGAGGGCGGGCCTACTTGTACTTTTGTATGAGATAAAAAAGTGCCAATGCCTGATGATACATAAACAGTCGAGCGTAGCCATCGTACCAAGTACCATCTACCAACACCACAATTTACGCTCGACTTACCGCACGGCCACGGGGCTCGCTATCCCAGTCGGGCACGCCACCACCTCCGGCCCTCCCCGGACCCCGAGAGGCCCAACCCCGCGCACTGGCCACTGCGCTCTGCGGCCGGCCCCAGCTCCGTTTGCACACGAGCGCCAGAAAAAAGAACCGAAACGATGCGAGACCGCACTCCTTGGAAGTGCTCCAAGTGTTCCAAAGTCGCACACGCCGCTCGATCGGACTCGGTCCACGACCGTCAGGCCTCTCGCGGGTCAGCAAAGGTCTAGCGGTGGTCTAGCCGGGGCAGCACTACGCATGGCTGTACACCTCCTGTACACTACGCCATACCTCAGTTGTTCTCCCAAGGGGGCTAGTACCTTAAGGTACTACAACAACCGAATCTTAGACCACGCGATTGTTGAACGCCGCGCCAAGCCCGTAGATGTCGCGAAGCTGCTGCTCAAGAACTGCAATCTCGGCGTGCAACGCACTCGTGCGGTCGGCGAGGTGACCATCCGAAGGGCCGTCGGCGCGGTGTCGCCTAGCCGTCGCGCGCGCGTCGAGCAGCTTGCGCAGCTCGTCGGTGTGGCGCTGTACATTCTCCCGCCGCAGGTTCACCAACCCCGGCGCGGTGTCGCCTGGCCCGCGAAGGCGGCTCGCCATGCAGAGCCAATCGTCCGCTAGCAGCCACAGCTGCAGCCGTTTCGCGTCGACGATCGCGCTCGCCGCGGCCTGCTCGGCCTGCTCGGCCAATGCGGCGTCGGTGGCGGCGGCGGACAAGGAAGCGTTGAGTGCCCTCCATCGCGTGTAGGCCTCTCGAAGCCCGGGAAGGAGAGCGAGGTCGTTAAGGTTGAGATGCACCGCCAGAAATCCAGCCGCGCAGCGCGTTAGCTCACGCTCTCGTTCTTCTGCACGCTCCGCATCGCGATGCACTTGGAGCTCGCGCGCCGCGTCAGCTGCTCTGTGGTCGCTGCTGAGGCCGACAAGCGCAAAAGCGCGCACCAGCCGGTCGAACGGGAAACGCACTGCTGGCAGCCGCGCGATCATGTCGTCCAGCCCACGCTGCTGACGAAGCTGGGCGAAGGCGCGCCGGTGCTCCTCGTCGTCCTCCCATTCGTCCTCGCCACCCGAGTCCTCGCCGGAGTCGCCTCCATCCTCGTGTTGTGCCCGGCGAAGCCGTCGCCGCTCGCGCTCGTCTGGCTGGTAGTGTGTCAATGTCGCGCCTATGCAAGGGGCGAGGGCAGATGAGAGGGCGAGAGGACGCAAGAGGGAGTGGGGCGCGCACGGCACCGGCAGCAGCGATCTGCGCGCGCACATCGTCATCGTCGGGCGGAGCGGATGGGCCTGCGTGCGCGCTGGGGCCCGCGCTTGCACTGGGGCCCGCTCCGCTGCCGGGGACGGCGCGGGCGGCGAGTTTGGCCTCTGCGCGCTGCAGGAAGGCTGCAACGTCGACGCCGCCCTGCGGGCAGGTGCCATGCGAACGGACGACGACGCAATCCGTCTGGAGGCAGACGTAGCAGAAACGCGCCATGCACCTGAGGAGAGGAGAGCGGGCTCAAGGAGTAGAGGATGAAGCGGGTTTGGTCGCTTTGCACTCACTTGGAGCACTGAGTCGAGTTGCAGCCACTCGACATCATGACCGGAGCGAGGCAGCTCGGGCAAACCTTGTGATGAACGGGTTCCGAAGGTGGCGCCGCAGGTGCGCCGGGTGGAGCGCTGGACGAGCTACCTGCACTGCCGTCACTGCCATCGACGCCACCGACACCGCCGCCGCTGTCGGCTGGCGGAGGAGCTGCAGCCGTGGTCTCTGACTCTGGCGCCGCACCCTCCTCCTGCACTGTGGGCTCTGCCGCCACCGCCTCGGCCGCCTCCGCGTCCGACGCCGCGTCTGCGTCCGCCGCCGCGTCCGCCTCCGCCTCCGCCTCCGCAGCGGCCGCGGGCCCGTTGAGCGCCGACGACGGCCCAGTGAGCATTGCCACCTGGAGTGCCTCAAAAGCAGCGCCACCGCCGCCGCGTCCACCGCCGCCTCTTCCACCGCGTCCACCGCCGCCGCCACCTCCGCCGCGCCCTCCTCCGTCGCCGCCGCCGCCACCACCTCCGCCGCGCCCGCCTCCGCCTCCGTCGTGACCCTCTCCCACGCGCGCCTCCGCCTGCACCAGTTGAGCGGCCTCGAGCACCCGCCGCGCAGATTGCGGCAGTGCGGCGAGCAAAGCGTGCGCATCGAGCGCTTGCAGCTCCTGGATGTCAAACGCTCCTTCTCTGGCCGGGCGGTGGAGCTGGAGGTTGCACTGGGAGAGCATGTCCCAGACGTGCCGGTCACCACCCGCGGCCTCAGCCTCGGCCTCTGCGATCGTCGCGCGATGTCTCATGCCCGTCGAGCGATGTGTCATGCCGTCGCAGACCGAGCGCAGCAGGTTCAGCCACGGACCTGCCGACTCGGCAGCATCGCTGATAGTGGCCATCGGTGCGATGAAATGATCCTGCCATTGGACCACGCGCAGGCACGGCAGCGGGAAGTGCGCGTCCTTGCCACAGAGTAGACAGTAGTGCGTGCCGCACTCGCAGCGGAGATTCACGCAGCCAGGGGCAGCCGGGCGGTTGAATTTTGGGCAGCTCGGGCAGCGTCGGTAGTTTCCGTCTGCGTCCAAGGAGGTGGCTGCATCGGCGGCTCGGAGGAGCTCTGCGTCCGCCTCGTCGAGAGGCAGCAACCCAATCTCCTCCTCCAGCACGCCCACACACGCACCGCCGTCGCACGCTTTGCCGCCCAGCTGCGCGCAGGTGAAGGGCGGCCTGTCGGTCGCAACACCGTCGCTAGGGTGGAGCACCGACTGGAGGAAGCCGGCCAGGCACTCGGTACAGACGGCGTGCTGGCATGAGAGCGTGAAGTATACCTCGTTCTCGTTGCTCGAACAGCACACGAGGCACTCGAGCGACGCGCCGCAACGCTGCCGCTTACTGGAGAGCAGGCGGTCCAGATCGCCCTCGTCGTACCAGGCCTCAAAGACTTTGGTCACGTCCCACGGTGGCCGCGTGCGCCGCAAGAGCAGCCTCGCAGTCTCCTGCTTCACGTCTAGCGTGTCCATGACCTGCTTCGCCTTTTTGGCTTGCGCCGCCCGCAGCGCGTCAACATCGAGACACGTGGTGGTGTCCGAGCCGACGCGGCGGATGGGGACATCGTCGCAGTCAGCAAACGCTGCCTCGTCAATAGAGCCAGCGCTCGTCCCAGACACGTCGCGCCGCGGCTTCTTCTGCCCCGGCACAGCCGAGGCCATCTCCTTGCGATGCGCACGCCGCTCGAGGAGGCGGGGCTGCGCGGTCCTGCGCTTGGGTGCTGCAGCCAGACCAATCTAATTCTTTTTCTTCTTTTTCTTTCTAGAACTCTTCCAGAAAACAAGGGATCAACAAGCTGTACGCGCTGTCGGTGCGGAAAAGCGCGGTGCCACAGAGTTTGGCCCACTCCATTCCCCGACGCTCGCACCTGCGCTTCGACCTTCGTCAGCGTCTCACCTCACGCCACGTGCACCTCAAACCACCCCGTGACCGGTGCACGGCAGATTGGGCACTTCTCCAACCTTGCAGAGCACCGGCCGCAAGCGCACTGGTGGCCACACGGCGTCGCTAGGTGGGATTTGGGGTTGGTGAAGCAAATGATGCACGTGGTCTGGCCGCCAATCGTAGACTCTGCCGGCGGTCGGCCCGTTTCGAAGTTGGCGTCCGCCAGCGAGATGGCTCCTGATTGTGGTGGCAGCTCGCTATGGGACACGCTAGGTGGAGGGGCGGCATCAGGTTGCTGTGTCTCAGCTGGCGGCTGCGCCGCCGCCGCCTCCATCGCCACCCTCTCCGCCGCCACCTGCTCCGCCTGCTCCGCCGCCGGTTGCTCCGCCGCCTGTGCCGCCACCGTCGCTGCTGCCTCCCGTGCCGCCTCCCTCCCCGCCCCCGCTTCTTCCGCCGCCGCCTCGCCTTCGGCGCTTGGCGTTGATACAGAATGCCCCTCCGCCTTCTTGCGCCGCCGCCGCTCGCGCTTCTGACGCTCGCGCTCTGCCGCCTCCGCCGCCTTCGCCTCCCGTTGCTGCTGCCGTTGCTGCATCGCCTGCTGCTGCGTTGCCGCCTGACGCGCCCTTGCCGCCGTCGCAAGCGGAGCGAGAAGATACTTTCTGAGCGGAGCGATAACCACTGGAGTGACAAAGTACCACGAGAGCGGAGCGCCCACATACTCCACGAGCCATCCCGCAAGGCTGAAAGCGGCTTGCTCGATGCATCTCTCGAATTGAGCGTTTCGCTCACAGAGCTTACGGCGTCTCCCACCTAGGACGGCGAATTCCGCGCCATTCATGAGCTTCTCGAAGACGTAGAAGGAAGACACCGCGAATAGCAAGGCCACGCACACGTATATCAGCCCCTGTATCAGTCCGTACCCGCTCACCCACTCCAAAAGCAGCCGAAAGATGCTGGTTATCCCACCCTCGCTCCACGTGCTGACTATCAAGGGTGCTATCGCATGGACGTACTCCTTTCCATACAGTAGCCACGAAGTGAGGAGAATGAAGAAGCAGACAAGCACGCTTCTCCCCGGACCCTGGGGGGAGATAGAGCTCATTCACTAGTAGAAGCGCTAAGAGCACGAGGGGGGGTATAAAATAGTCCACCCCAAGCTGTTGCCCAAGCTTGGAAAAGACAAACTCCAAGCTGTTGTTTGACAGCGACGGTATCTCCTGCACAAAGCCATCCGAGGGCGCCGACCCCGTCAGCGATGGAGTTGGCCGCACAACGCTCTCTGAGGGCTCCGCCCCCTTCCCCAATGCGGCTGTGTGAAAGGCGTCGGCTGTGACCATGAATGTCGTTGGCGGAGGCTCCGCGAGGCCCTCTGGACTTTTCTTTGATGGCGATGGAGCTGTCGCCACAAGTCTCTCCGGGGGCTCCATCCCCATTGCGGCGTCTGGGGGTGGAGCCCAGACAGCCGTCCCCAGCCCAAAAGCAACAGTCGCGCATATAAGGCCGTCGATCCACACCCGCAATTTTACCTCGTTGCCTTCACGCACACACTGATAGGGGAACCCGCCAAGCCGCCCGTTCACGTACGAAGCCATTCTCCCGCAAGCCCTGCACATGCTCTGTCGACTAGATATCCTCCAAACCGAAGTCAACCTTTGCCGCAAGTAAAAACAAAGAGCGCCGGGACGCGGAGTTCGGCACGCCCCTGTGTGCCAGTCGGTGACGGGACAGGGCGGCAGCGGTGCACTTTGAGCAGAAAAAACAACGCAAAAAATAAAACCGATGGCGGGAGTTGTTCGCCCATATTTTTGCGACAGCCCGCAAGCAGTGTGCGACGGCGCTTGCTGCTGCAGGCTCTCGCCCAAGCCCCATGGACGGGGCTCGCGAGTGTCTCGACATGCCGCTGCGCGTCGGCCTCACCGACGGCAGGGTCATCTACGGCCGCTTCGCCTGCCTCGACAAGCAGCAGAACCTGCTGCTCTCCGAGGCGCGTGAGACGCGCAAGCTGGGCGGCGGCGCTGCAGACAACGGCGTGAGCGAGCGGCACCTGGGCACAGTGCTGGTGCCTAGGAGATGGGTGACGAGCTGTCATACCGCGGTTGTTACGTAGATCAACGCGGCTGTCGCTATGTCTAGATGCGAACGGACAGCTCACTGTATGGAGATGTGTCCTGTTGGTTAGGGTTATATTCGCGCGCGGCGAAAAGCACAATGTATGCATGTGCCGGCGCAACTCGGAGTTCGCTCGGAACTCGTCTGGAGAAGTGAGCTGCACTCAGGTGCGCGCGCGCACACACCGCACAGTCACAGAGAGAGAGAAATCACAGTACACAGAAAACACGCAGTCCGCGAGTGTATGAATTGCACGACTTTGCGGGCACCACAGCGCGCACACGGCAGTCGGCAGAGAGAGAGAGAGTTGTACTGGCATATCGCAAAGGCCAGGGGGGACGCGTGGCTGTACTCAGCGCACGTCTCGACGTAACGGCGCGGAGGTGGACCGCAGATCTCCCTCCCGACCACAGCCGCGCTCCCTCACGGCACGCCGCGCGTGAGGATGCGTGCGCCGGCGGGCGGCACCATGCCGTCGCTCAGCTTCACGGTGCCCGCGTTGATGGCCTCGTGCAGCCTGACAATGTTCTCCTCGATCGAGTCGCGGTAGACGAAGCGCGTGACGAGCACGTCCTTGGTCTGGCCGAGGCGGTGGATGCGGCCGGCCGCCTGCACCTCGGCCGCCGGGTTGAAGGCGGGCTCGAAGAGGTAGACGCGGTTCGCGGATGTGAGCGTCATGCCGACGGCGCCCACCCGCAGCGTGACGACGAGCACCTGCTCGCGCGGGAGACAGAGAGACAGGGGTCGAACACCGCCGCTCGACCGGCTGCGGCGTGACATCGCCGCCGTCCGCCTTTGGGCCGGCGCTGCCCTTGCCGCGCCCCTGGAACTCGCGGACCGCGTCGTGGCGCCGCGCATTGTCCATCGCGCCGTGGATCTCGTAGACCTGGAAGGGAGGCTGGCCATGCGCCGCCTAAGGGCGTGTCCCGGACACGTCGTGGGCGTGTCCGCCGCGCGCGCGGCCGGCCGCGCGGCCAGCCGCCTGGCCGTGATGCTGCTTGAGCAGCGCGACGAGCGCGGCGTGCGTCTCGCGGTGGTGCGTGAAAACGACCGCCATGCAGTTGCGCTCCGCGTTGCGGAGCACGCGCAGGTCGGTGAGGAGCGCGCGCAGCTTGGTGCACTCGCTCAGCTTGGGCGCGTACTCGAACGTGTACTCGGTCCCCGCCTTCTTCGTCTTGTGGTACATGAGCAGCGCCTGCGGAGAGGGGATCGGAGGGGAGAGGCGGAAGTGGCGGCGGAGGTGGAAAGGCAGGCGGCGGCGGAGGTAACGGGGGGGGCGGGGGGGGGGAGGCGCCTGCGACTCGGTGAAGGCGCGCTCCTGGCCGGAGAACCTTGTCGCGGGGCAGGGAGAGAGGGTGAGAGACTGCAACACGAGGGCGGGAGCGGCACGGCCGCGCACTTGTAGATGTTGGAGCAAGCCTGCCGGCGGCAGCGCAGCGCCATCTCGAGGAAGAAGTCCTTGGCGCCCTCGCGTTCAATCTTCGGCACCTGGTTCGAGTCTTTCTCGGCGGCGAGGTCGTAGAGCGCGCGCTCGTTGGCCGTCATCTGCAGCCACACGACCTTGGTCTGCGAGGCGGGCAGCGAGAGCGCGGCCGAGCCCTTGATGACCTGCGCCTACAGGCGCATCCGAATCCCGCGTGTGCGCTCTGCACAGCCTCGCGTGCCGACCGCCTGGAGACGTCTCCTCCGCGCCTTCTTGTGCCGGATGCAGATCTGCTTCATCGCCGCGAGCAGCCCCGGCCCGACGCTCGCCGCGTGCAGCCGCAGCCCGAGCTCGGCGTGGCCGAGGAGGTGCGCGCCAAGCGACAGGTCCTCCACGCCGCGTGTGAGCGGCGTGCCGGTCAGCAGCCACACCCGGCCGGCGGAGCACTCGTAGTTCGCCTGCGCGGTCTGCCGGAACCCGCTCGGCGTCCAGGCGCCGCCGGCAGACCGCCACGGTCGGTGGAAGAGGAAGGCGTTCTTGACGTCGTCCGTGTGCACCTCGTCGACGACGATGCGGTGGAAGGAGTAGCCGAGCAGCTTGGCGGCCATGCCCGACGTGGTGAGGATGACGTCGGCGCTGGTGAAGCTCGCGAGCACCTTGGCCTGGCTCGCGGCCCAGACCGACGCCTTGTGCGCGCACGAGTGCCACGTGACCACCTTGAGGCCCGGCGCAAAGTCGCGGACCTCGTCGGCCCACTGCCCCAGCAGCGACACGGGCGCGATGACGAGCGTGGCGCGCAGCCGGATGATGCCCTCGCTGTAGCGCTGCAAGGCCTGGAAGCCGCCCTTGCACTCTCGGATCCACCCGTGAAGCTCCGGGTGGCGTGTGCTCACGAGAGTCGCCGGCGCCGCCCAGTCGCCCCACGCCCAGTCGTCCTCGCTCGCGTCGACCCAGATCTCGCGCTCCTCCTCGGTGGCCGCCTGCGGGGCGCGCTGTGGACGCGTCACGGACGCGTGTGACGGACAGACCGGTCGCTCCTCAGGGAGGCCACCTCGTCGAACCGCACCATCATGCCCTCGTAGTTGCTCCAGCGCACGACACCGAGCTGAGGGCACGCGGGCGCGGCCGCCTCCTGCGCCGCCGTCGCCTCGCCCCCCTGCGCGTACCAGACCGTGATCCGGACGCCGTCCGCGAGCATCGGCGCCGTCGCGCCCGCGGGCGGCGCCGGGTTCGCGAGGATGACGCTGAGGGCGCAGAGAGTCTTGCCCATCCCCACCTCGTCCGCGACGTAGCCGCCGCGCACGCCGACGGGCATCGGCGCCGTGCAGCGCTCGGGCCGCACAAAGCTGGTGCCGAGGCTCGACGGCTCCGCCGAGCGCTCGCGGTCGAGCATGAAGCCGATGGTCTGCTTCTGGTAGGTGCGCAAGCGGACGTCGCGGCGGAGCCCCGCGTGCTCCGAGGCCTCGTTGGCGTAGATGGACCCCTGCGTCACCGCGGCGAGGATGCGCTCGCAGCTCCACGCAGGCGCGCCGCTGCTGCTCCCCGCCGCTGCTGCGGAACGCGACGGCGGGGCGGGCGCGCGCAGCGCGGCTTGGGCGGCGAGGTCGGCCGCGGCCTGTGCCTCGCGGGCCTTGGCGGCGGCGGCGGCGGCGGCGGCGCGGGCGGCTTCGCTCGCCGCCTTGGCGCGCTGGCGCTGCCAGAAGGGGTCGGCGTGCCGTGCGCGGCAGTGCTCGCGCCACGCCTTGCACGACGAGACGACGGCGTCGCACACGTAGCAGAAGCAGAGCGTGCAGTGCTCCGCCTCGGAGCCGCGCTCAAAGCGGCAGACGACGCAGTTCTCGCGGGCGTGCGGGAAATCCTGGAGGGCGACGTGGCCCGTGCGGCCCACAAACTGCACGTCCTCCTCCGCGCCAGCTGTTGCTGCCGCGCCACCCGTGGCCGCCTCGGGCGCCGGAGCGGGCACCTCCTCGACCTCGTCGTCGTCGTCGCGAGCGACTGGACGCACCTTGCGCTTGCCGGCTGACGTACCTTCCGCCGGGAGGGAGGAGGCGGAGGCGGAGGCGGAGGTGGAGGCGGTGGCGGCGGAGGAGGCGGAGGCGGAGGCGGAGGAGGAGGCGGAGGCGGAGGCGGTGGCGGAGGAGGAGGCGGAGGCGGAGGCGGTGGCGGTGGCGGAGGCGGAAGCGGTCGATGCAGAGTTTGGCGGCAGCGAATCCAGCCCAACTCCGTACTGCTTCGTGAGCGCAGCGTTGAGCTCCGCCTCTTTGCCCTCGAAGAACTCGGCGACCTTTGAAACCGAGTGAGCACCTTGCACGTTGAGCTTGCTCGGGTTGTGCCTGGAGTAGAACTGACGCAGTCGACTCTCCAGGGCGGAGGCAGCGGCTGCAGAGGCGGCACCGTCGGAGGCAGTGGAGGAGGCTGGGCGGGCAGCTCTCGCGGCGATGGTAGAGGTGTGGCTCGCAGCGATAGGTGGCACGTCGTCCTCCTCGCTTGATGCGCAAAGGTCGATCTCGTTGCCATCATCACTCGAGTCGCAGAGGTCGATAACGTCGGCCATTGAGCCCGCCCGCCTCCCGCCTCGGCCTGCTGCAAAAGAATTTTACAAGCGGGCGCACGACACTCACGCGACAGGCGAGGCGCGGGCGACGGCTTCCTCAGAAGCCGTCGCCCGCACCACAGGAGCAGTCACACCACCACTCCCACTCCGGCGCCCACCCGCTCCCCACCCCGACATCCCCACCCCACCCCACGCTCGCCCACGACGCCAGCCGCCCGTCGCCCGCCGCACCGCCGTCTCGCCCGCCGCCTCGCCCAGCCTCCGCGCCCGCCCGCCCGACCGCCGCCAGCGCCGGCATCTCGACGGCCTCCGCCTCGCCCGCCCTCCGATCCTGTGGTCTCGCTGAAGAAATCGACGCAGCAGCGACCTCGACCGAGTCGGACTCGGGCGACTGACATTCGCTGGTGACGTAAAAGCGGGCTCGTCCAGGACCAGAAGGCAGGGGCAGGCAGCCGCCCTCCGCCTCCGCCGCAGCAGCCGCCCCACCCGCTCCCCACACCTGTGGCCACTCAAAGAAGAAAGACGCAGCGCCAGCCGCACCCGAGACAAGCCCGAGCGCCCGCCGGCGGCAGACCGCCTTAATGAGGACACGTCCAGGAATGAGGAGTAGGCGAGGGCAGCCGCCCTCCCCACCCACCGCCGGCGGCAGACCGCCAGCGGGAACCTCCAGCAGGGCAGAGCCTCTGGCTCCGCCAACCTCTGCGGGCCCGCGCCACGCGCGGGCACCGCGCTCCTCCTCTCGAGCGTGCGCCGCCGCGGCCCCTGCAAAGAAACTTGTGCGCCGGCACGGGACTGGCGCGCACTGGCACTAACGCTGCAAAAGAAACTTAGGTAAAACTGGCCACTGTTCCTCACCTTCCTATCTATCTATCCTCCAAGCTCCACGTGTGAGAGGTTGCAGGATGCAGCCAACTCTACACTCCAAGTGCCGCAAGGTTTTTTGTTTCTTTCTGCAAGCGCGAAAAGCTCAACCGCACTATCCTGTGCCCAACCGCCTGACCACTCCCGCCCCGAACATGCTCCGACAACATGCAGGCTCGAGTGGCTCTCGCACGCCGCGCGGCCATGACACCCAATGCATTGTACAGTTCCACCTAATGTTTTTCGCGCGCGCCGCGCGGCTAGAGGTTTCGGCTATGAGGGCGTCACATGTGCCAGGGCTCACGCCATGAGGGCGTCGGCCGCGTCGGCCGCGCTGACGCCGGGCACCGCGTCGTTGACGCAGAGCTTGCGCTTCTTTGACCGGTCGACATCTGCCGAGACGTCAGCGCTACCGGCAGCGATTGCAGAGATAAGCCTCTTGCGCCTGAAGGTCGCGCACGCCGCCGCCTCGCCCGCGCGGCTCACCTCCTGCTGCAGGGCCAGCGCCTCCTGCACGAGCGCCTTGACGACTGGGCTGCGCCGGTAGACGCGCGAGAGGGCGTCCTTGATCGCGCCGTCCGGAAGGCAGACGCGCACCAGAGGGAAGCGGACGAGCGGCGCCACCTGATCGATAACCGTGGCCTCGCGGCCGGGCACCTCGGCCCAGTCGAGAAAGGCGCGGAGCACCGTCTCCTCCGAGTCGACCTTCAGCTTTTTGCGCGAGAGCATGCGCGAGAAGGTCGCCGCGTCGACCCAACGGGCCGTGGAGCGTTCGAACCCGAAGAAGTATGCCATGCCGTCGACGAGCTTTTCCCAGAGGCGGGCGAACTCGACGTTGCTGGCTGGCTGGAGGGAGAGCTCGTCGTGTTTGCGGATTATGTCTTCGATGTCCTCGCCGGTCAGGAGGGCGTCGAGCGAGTCGAGCGCGGGCGCCCCGTTGGCGAGGCAGCGGAGGAGGAAGACGCATTCCTCCAGAGAGGGCGCCGGCTCCGACGCAAGCAGCGGTGGCGCGTGGGCCGGATCGAGCGGCACCTTCGCCCAGCGGGCAGACAACCAGACCGAGATGAGTCGATGCGTCCTGACGCGCACGAACCCGCCGTCTCTCTCTCCCTCCCTCTGCGCGTCCAACACTTTGAGCAGAGCTGCAGGCGAGAAGGCGCTGAGCACCGTCGGGTCTTTGAGCACGTCCCACTCCGCGAGGCGAATCGACCGCGCGCAGCTCGCACCCACCTCGCGGAAGGCCTCGACGAGCCAATCGTGGCGGTCATCCGACGATAGAGTGTCGACATGGTCTATCGAGCTCGTGAGCGCAGCACAAAAGGCGGCGCACTCGACCGGATCGGCGATGCGTTCGGCGCTGCGGCCCACGACGAAGGCGTTGGTGCAGAGAGTGGCGACCTTGCGCATCGAGCTGTCGAGGTCTGAGCTATCCGCGGGCCCACCGAGCATCGCCACGAGCTCGAGCACCTCGAACGCAAGGCTCTGGCCGAAGCTGGCGCAATCGGTGCAGCCTGGGAGGTGCAGCTCGAGCATGAGCGCGCGCACGGCCTCGCGCGTCGCGTCGAGCGAGACCACGCCCTCGTCGTCGCCAAGCTCCGCCCCGGTCGCCTCGAGCCTCGTCTGGAAGTAGGCGGAGGCTGCGCTGAGCGTCGCTTTGCGCGCCGGGCACTGGCTTCCGTCGACTGTGGACTTGACCATGACATCGTGATCGAAGAGGAGCTGCCGTGCCGCGTCAGCGAGCGCGCTGATCTTGTGCGCGGAATCGGCTGCGAGCTGGCGCTTCTCGTCCTCAACCGCCGCAAGCTGTGCCTCAAGCTGCACAAGCCGCTCTTGCACAGCCTGCACTGCGCGGCGGTGGTTTTGCTCGTGCGCGACGCGCTGCGGGTAGCCGCCGAGATTTGCGACCAGGGCGGCGCTTCCAGGCGACAGGTTGCTAGCCCTCTCTCGAGCCTCCTGCTCCTCTCTCTCTCTCTCCCTCAGGAGCCTAGCAAGCATGGCTAGGACCTGTCTATGCCCGGTCGGGCCGGTCTCTTTCGCACTCAACCAGCAAAAGAATTTTACACTTGCAGACTGGGAAATTCGCATGCGCCACAAACCTCCTCTTCCGGTGAGGGGAGTTTTCTGTAAAATTCTTCTGTTTCCACGCACAGCTCGTTCCCGCCTACTTTGATAATCCGCGCGACCTGTGTGTCGCGCGCCCGCCGCAAGGAAGCGCGTCGCGCGTGGCAGTGACCCTGGCGAAGAGACTCGGCGTTGCGGCAGTGCCGCCGGCCGTGGAGGCACGGCTACAACGATGTCCCACGCTGCAGGCCTCCCTTGGCTGCCTGACGACCTGTTGCTCTTGCTGCTCGACCGATGGGTGGCAGACCCAATGGCGCCGTCCTCTGCCGCCGCCCTTGCCTCGGCCACGGCCGACCTGCATCGCCTGCTCCTCCCGGCGACCTCGAAGCTGAAGCAGGCGCGTCTCGACTTCCTCGCGCTGTGCCAGCTTCTCAGAAAGACGCCCGCGAACCTCTCCCTCGCCAAGTCCGTCTGCCTCGTTGAGGCAACCTCCAGCAACGCGGCGGCTCTCGGAAGGGCGGCGGCGCACGGCAACCTACGCAACATCGAATTGCTAACCGTGAGCGACACGCGCGCCATGGCCGGCGGTGAGGACGCGCTCGAGCCTCTCGGACAGGCACTCGCAATCGGCGCCTTGCCGCGGCTGCAACATCTCAACCTCAGTGGCAATCTGCTCAGCGGTGGGTTTTGCAAGACCCTGGAGGCCGCGTGTGAGACCGGCGCGCTGAGCTCTCTGATCGGCCTCAATCTCAGCCGCACGACCCGTGCGGCCGCAGCGCTGGCACAGGCACTAGCGGGAGGGGCGCGCCTCGCTTGCATGAAGCAGCTTTACCTCGCCGACGCAGGCATCGACGACGCGCAGGTGGAGAATCTCTGCACGCGTGGCGTTGGCGGGCTGGGCGGGCTCCAGGAGCTCTACCTTTGCAACAACGTTGCCATCACGGACAACAGCCTCTATGTGCTCTCCGCAGTGCTGGACAGAGGCGCGCTCCCCGAGCTGCAGCGATTGTACGTGCCCAAAGCGCTCGGTGAGGCGCGTGAGGCGCGGTCGGCGATCTGCGCCGCGGCGGCGGAGAGAGGTGTTCGGGTGTTGTTCCGGTGAACGCGAGGCGTCTGGTGATGTGGAGAGGGCCCACCCGGGGCTCGCGAGTCGCGTCGCGTTCCGTCACTGTTCCGTCTGGTAAGGTAAGGTAGGCGCTTACGGTTAAGGTAAGGTAAGGTAAACTTCTCCACACACACGAGGTGGTGGGGCAAGGGGGGGCAACCCTCGCGTCTCCACGTCTAACGACAGGAGCCCCACGGCATTCAAAGTGCAAGGCCCGGTGCGGGGCGTGGGTGGAGCGGTGTGTGTGTGTGTGTGTGTGTGTGTGTGTGTGTGTGTGTGTGTGTGTGTGTGTGTGTGTGTGTGTGTGTGTGTGTGTGTGTGTGTGTGTGTGTGTGTGTGTGTCACGTCACTGCTCACTGTATCCTCTGCCGGTTCCTCCCGTCGCCTCTTCTTTGTTCGAATGTTTTTCAGTTCCGTCTGAGACTTGCCGGCTTCTTTTGCGTCAGCTCCTCCGACGACATCCGCGACCAAGATCCTCATGGTCATGCGTTTTACGTACTTTCGTTTGGATTGGTTCGAGAGAGGTTGACAAACGACGAGAATCCGCATAGAGTACACACACGCAGAGGGCAATAACTACAAGCCCTCCGCAACCGGTTCGGCGCCGCTGGCGTCCGAGGCGTCGGATGCTCCCGGGAAGTGATGCCTAAGCGGCTCCGGCACCTCCTCCTCAGCGGCGCCTCCCTCCTCCGTCCTCGACGATCCCCCGGCCTGCCGCAGGTGGTTGTAGATGTAGAAGAGCGCCTTTGGAGTGATGCCGGGGATGGCGCCCGCCTCGGAGAGCGTCGCGGGCTGCGTGGCGGTAAGCTTCTCGACCTGCGGGGCGGGGCCGAGCGCGGGGTGGGCTCGGTGCGACGGACCGCCGGGGTGGTGCCAAGCGCTGGTGCTGGTGCCAGACGGAGGCGGATCCTCTATCTTGAGAGCATACTGTGGCGCATCTCGGCTAGATCTCGGCAGATCTCGGCTAGATCTGCCGCCTCCTCCTTGGAGAGGCACGGCAGCGCAGCGTAGTCGGTGTGGCGCGGGATGGATGCCATCGCGTGCTCCTCGAGGCGCGCAACCTCTCGCGCCTGCCGCTCGAGGTAGTTTGAATACTTGACCTCGATCTCCATCGCCTCTCGCCCGAGCGACGGCAGCGGCAGCAGCGACGCGCCCTCGGGGCACGCCTTTCGCCACCCGTGCGGCGCCGCCGCCATCGCCGCCTCCACGTCGCACAACTCCGCGCGGGGCACGTGCAGCATCTGCTCGGCGGTGCGCAGCTCGCCTGAGGAACACACACACCACCAACGCGTCAAAGCGACCAAGGACTGGCGCAGCGGCTGCAGCATCTGCTCGGCGCGCGGCTCGCCGTTTGGCTTGACCCCGAACCCCGCCGCCGCCCACTCGGCGTTGGGCAGCGCGAAGCCGCGCAGCGCGCGCAGCCCGCGCTGCATCGCCGCCTGCTTCTCGCGCAGCCGCTCCAGCCGCCGCTCCCCGACCAAGCCGCACGCGGCGCCGAGCGGGGTCAGGCGCGCGTCTGCGTTGTCTGCGCGCCTGCACAGGGGCGTGCGGCGTGTGGGGCGAGGTGTGGTGCGGCGTGCACTGCGTCCCGCGCTGTCGGCGCGCAGCATCAGCCGCCACTCGGCGCGCGAGGTGAACATGCGGTACGGCTCGGTCGTGCCGCGCCTGCGGGGCGACGAGACGGGTCGGGGGGGGGAGGGCCCTGGCGGAGCGTGGGGTTGCTCGGCGCTGCCGCGCGTGACGAGGTCATCCACAAGCACGCCGATGTACCCCTGGTGCCGCCCGACCGTCAGCGGAGGGCCGCGGCTGCACGAGAGCGCCGCGTTCGCGCCGGCGACGAGGCCGAGGGCGGCGGCCTCCTCGTAGCCGGTCGTGCCTGAGGAAGGTTTCGAGAAGGTTCCGGGAGGGTGGCCGAGGGGGGCGGCCCCGCAGCCGGCGTGTGCCGATGATCTGCCCAGCGAGGAAGAGCCCCTCCACCGTGGAGACCTGTGGTGCAGGCAGAGGTGTGGGAGAGGTGGCACATGCTTTCGTGGACTGCTCTGCCCCGATCGGGGGGTGAGACGCTGCCCCGCCCCGGAGCAAGCCTCGGCTGTATCTCGGCTGTATCTCGGCTGTATCTCGGCTGTATCTCGGCTGTATCTCGGCTGTATCTCGGCTGTATCTCGGCTCCTCTCGGCTCCTCTCACCATCTCGTCATCTCGGCTGCATCTCGGCTGCATCTCCTCCCTGCGCCTCGAGTGTGCGCCGGAGGCAGGTGGGGTCGACGTAGTCGTACTCGACGTCGTACGCCGGCTTGAGGATCGTAGCGCCCTCGAGGCCGACCATCGAGCGGACGAGGCGGAGCTGTACGTCGGGCGGGAAGGCCGAGGAGATGCCGTTCGGGTAGACCTAGCAGGCTCGGGCGCAGGGTCCGAGAGTGGCACCCGCGGGGAGGAGCGGGCGTGCCGCCCCCGAGGCGTGCCCAGTCCGAGTCGAGCCCCTCCGGCTCGAGCCACACGATGTGCGCCTGCAGCGAGATGTTCCGGCAGCGCTCACCGACGGCTCCGGCGAGCCCCTCCGCCTCGAGCGGCGTGCGAACCTCTCGCTCCGGGAAGCGCTCCACCTTTGAGAAGAGCGACGGGCAGTAGCGCGGGCCGGCGCCCTTGCCGTCGCCCGACTCGTACGCGGGGAGAGTGTGCCTAGGGGACGGGGAGGGGAAAGCTCATCGAAGCTTCCCGCCGTCGGCCGACTCGGCGGCGGAGCGACGGGGCTGCTTCGAGTCGACGACGATCCGGTGCGTCTCTGCATTTGTGTACCTATCGCAGCCCCGCAACGGCTTGCGGGATGCGCCGCGCCGCGCCAGCCTCCGCGCTGCTGGGGCACGTCTTGTGGCAAGTGATCAGGTTGGCCGCCTGCGCGACGGACTCGCCCTCGTTGAGGAAGGAGAAGGGCAGGGGAGGCTCCTAACAGGTTCAGCGGAAAGGTTCCGAGAAGGTTCCGAGAAGGTTCCGAGAAGGTTCCGAGAAGGATCCGAGGAGGTTCCGAGAAGGATCCGAGGAGGGTCCGAGGAGGGTCCGAGAAGGCGCGAGGAAGGAGGAGGCGGGTGAGAGGAGGGAGGGAGCGGCTCCTCGGACGGCTGCGGCATCGCGGCTAGTCACGGCCAATCTCGGCTCGTCTCGGCTCGTCTCGACTACCTCGGACGGCTGCGGCTCGAGCCGCGAAAAGTCGATGCTCTTCGCGCTGAGCCGCGGAGGCGTGCCTGTCTTGAGGCGGTCGAGGGGCAGCGCGAGGCGGCCTGCAGAGGCGCGCCGTGCGTGTGTCGCGGACGTGTCGTCGACAGGCGACCAAGTGTGGCGGGCGGCGGCAGGCGACCAAGTGTGGCGGCGAGGCCGGTCGACGGCGGCTCGACCGCCTCCGAGGTGGAGACGAAGCGCCCCGCGGGCCGCGACTCTCGGCCGACGTGGACCACGCCGCGCAGAAAGGTGCCCGTCGTCAGCACCACGGCCCGCGCGCGTAGCTCGGACCCGTCCGCGGTGATGACACCGCACGCTCGCCCCACGGGCCGTCCCGCCTCCGCCGCTGCGGCGGCTGCGGCCGACCCCTCCGCCGGCTCGTCGACGACCAGGTCCTCCACAGACGCCTCGTACAGCTCGAGACCCGGGTACGCCTGGAGCTCGCGCAGCATCGCGTCGCGGTACAGCTCGCGGTCCGCCTGCGCGCGCGGCCCCTGCACCGCCGGACCCTTGCGCCGGTTGAGCATCCGGAAGTGGATGCCCGCCTCATCGATGACTCGCCCCATCAGGCCGTCGAGCGCGTCCACCTCGCGGACGAGATGGCCTTTGCCGATGCCGCCGATGGATGGGTTGCACGACATCTCGCCGATTGTGTCGATCCGCTGCGTCACCAGCACCGTACGTGCGCCGCTACGCGCGGCGGCCGCCGCCGCCTCGCAGCCGGCGTGCCCGCCGCCGACGACGAGCACGTCGACGTCACGCACGACGGCGGCACGAGGGGCGGCGCGGAGCGTGCGCGAGGGCACGTGTGGACTCCGTCCGTCAGCCCACGCGAAAACCAGCAACGCGACCCTCGCCAGCATCTCGCCTGATGGTCAAAAAAGAATTTATTATTGCGCCGTGCGCACGCCAAGGCGCGGGGCGGCGGTGCTCGCCGGCGCTCGCGGCGCTTCGGTGCTCGGGCGCGCTCGCCATTGTGGTCGTTCAGGGCGGGTCGCACAGCACACGCACACGCACACACACACACACACACACACACACACACACACACACACACACACACACACACACACACACACACACACACACACACACACATGCATGCACAGACACACAGCCCATTCCCCTTCCCCCGCAAGACATCAAGGACGAGGACACGACACAGGACGCACCTCTAGTGAGGCCCGCATAGTAATGTGGGTGACTCCTGCCGCCGCCCCTGCCACCCCTGTGTCAGTGTGCCTGTGGTTGCGAGAGACTGCCCAAGTGAGAAGCTGGAGGAAGGTCGCTAGACTGAGATGAGACCGCCAGTGGAGTTGGGAGTCCACCGTGCACCGCGCTGCGAGCCTGTCGTGTCCCTTGTCAGGAGCAGGAGAGCCCCACCTGTCCCCCTGATCGTCCTTCCAAAATCCTGCTCGTGCAGGTGGGGACCCTGTCCTCCTCCCCTATCCCTCGTTTGGGTTGTCTGTTTTCTTTCTTTCTTTCCCCCTCACCCTCGATTTTGCAAAATCCTGTGCAAAGGTGGGGACGAGTCTGAGAGACTATGGAAAGTTCACGTCATGACGGTTAGCCGCTGTCACGACCGTTAGCCGCTGTCACGACAGCTGGGAGCTGTCATGACAGCAAACGACAGCGACAGTGACACCTACCTGTCACCAGCTGTCACCAGCTGTCACCAGCTGTCACCAGCTGTCACCAGCTGTCGTTGCTGCTGTCGTTGCTGCTGTCATTGCTGCTGTCATTGCTGCTGTCGTAACCATCCCCCGACTGGTCCAACTGTCACTGCTGCTGTAATTGCGCGGCTGTCATTCCTGCTGTCATTGCTGCTGTCGTCGCTGTCCGTTGCTGCTGTCATTGCTGCTGTCATTGCTGCTCTCATGAGCACCCCCGCAGGACAGTGTTAAAATGGGATGTGGTGCCACTAACGAGAGAGACAGGACACTCAAGATATACACGCACGACTCGCACGCCCGACGCCACATGAGAAACCCTCTCAACAGTAGCCACGCACCGTCAGCAGCAGCGGGCGTGAGTAACAGAATCTGCAAAACCCTCGCCCTCCTTCCTCCAGCATGTGCCGTGATGGGCTCCAGCGCTGGTTCATCTGCCGCTCAAAAATCTCACGCGAGCGAACGGCGTCAATCATCAACCGCGAGGATTGGGACCTTGAAATCCACGATCGCAAGTAAACGCGCAGAGCATTGAAAAAAATTGTTCCAGTCTTAGCCAGCAAAAGGGAGCACACACGACTTAGCAAGTCCGCACTAGCGACTGCCACTCGCCTAACCATGCCTTGTCACAAGTGCTCTCCCAATCGCGTACAGGCACACACACTCCGCCTGTTCTCACCCAAACACTCTATCACACCCTTGCCTCCCTGCCAGAGCGAGCTAGATTCTCCCCGCCTCCCTCCCGCCTCTGCCGCGCGCCTTCTATGGACGTCAAGTGCAGCACCTAGGGGGAGAGAGGGGGTTTGCCCTGGTAGGGAGGTGGCGAGGCCGCGCACTGCAAACCCAGTGTGAGGAGTGGGGGAGCTGGGACAGGGCGTGTGCGCCTCTGATCTGTCATGGTCTAGTGGCCGATAGGATCCTCCCTTAGGCAGCGATGGCGGGTCGGGAGAGGCCCGAGTTCTCAGCCCGCCACTTACTGTCAGCCTCTCTGACTGCCCAGGGTCTCACACCACGATGCCGCCCGAGTAGAGGGGGTAAGGTGTGTAGAGTGCGGCTGTGTATGGAACCTCTCTCTCCGTGGATCCCACCTGAGCCCACTCGCGGTGCGAAGGCTCCTAATGCGGCAACTGAGCCCGCAAGGGTGGGTCACTAAGGGGGAGGTTACGTTGGTTGATATGTTGTGTTGTGGCGTAAAGCTGTGCAGCGGCGCAGCGAGCCCTGCCGCGGCTAGTCGTCGAGACTGGTCGGTGGGTGGTGCCTGTAACAGCTGAGGCAGGGAGACTGCCTGTGAGTAGCGCAGCCGCGCGGTCGCCCGAGGAGTTGGGATGATAGGTGGAGAGACAGGTGCGACCGTACCTGGGTATGGCGCAGGCTGGTGGCTAGGGTTAGCTGGGCGCGCACGGCGAGTCCAGTCACATTGCCGCCCCGCAACAGCGATGTGAGTGGTCTCTCAGTGCGCGCTCTGCGTCCCTAGAACGTGGCGTGGCGTTGATGCTGAAGCGATAAAATGGTACTATATCAGGCAGTGAAGCATAGTCGTCAATTCTGCAAGCCGGCTTGCAAAGCCGTTCGGAGCGCCTGATTCGAGCGAGTGGAGGCAGGTTCGAGACCTGGTGGGGGGGTTTGGGGGGGTCGCCCGTCGCCCATCGGACCATCAAGGGATCCATCAAATCCATCGAATCTGTCGACATCTGTCGACAGCTGGCGCGGCTCACGCCGGCCGCTGCGCCAGAATTTTTTTTGTGCTGAGCACAGGGTTGGTTGTGCCGGGCCGCCCCCGCGAGAGAAACTCGTCAGTAAAACTCTCGGGCGGCCCGGCTGTCTGAGGCTGGCACGCAATGGCAAAAGCCCGCGGCTCGTCGCCAAGGAGTTACGAAGTTTTTCCGCGCAGAGCATTGAGCAACACACCTCGGGTATTGAACCTCTTGGCCATTGCCGAGCCACAAAATTCTATTGGCGTTGATCAGGAACTCTCATGTACGTACTCTCATGTAGAGAGCTCGGCTCTGCTACAAGAAGAGAGAGTACAAGAAAGCAGGCTCGCCCTACACAGAGAAATTCGGAGGTACAGGAGCAGGAGTTTTGCAAAACGTGTGAGACGTACAAACGCTGCTGTGCATCAAGCGCTGAGAGCTACATCCACGCGCACCGGTGTCTTATTTTAGTCCATGGGGTGTAATGCACAGATGGGTGGGTGTGGGCGGTTGGGCCCCTTCGCTGGTGCCTGTCACTAGGGCTATGGCTGCCTCACTGTGGCGCTGGCTCTGCCTCGCTGTGTCGCTGTCGCTGTCGCTGTCGCTGTCACTAGGGTCCCGCGCTGACATTGTCACCGCCTGTTGCTGGCGTTCACTGGCTTCACTGTCACTGTCACTATGGCTGTCACTGTTCCTGGGTGCCTTTGACTCGACACTCCTCCCTGGCAGCTAGCTGCAAGCTGGCTGTCACCAGCTGTCACTAGCTGTCACCAGCTGTCACCAGCTGTCACCAGCTGTCGTTGCTGCTGTCGTTGCTGCTGTCGTTTCGCAGCCGCTGTCACGACATATTGACCACGTCGCGACCGTTAACAGCCGTTTTAACCGTCATGACGTGAACTTTCCATAGTCTCTGAGAGAGATTTTTAGAAGCGTTCTCTCGAGTCTGTCCTCGACCCAGCCCTAGCTTCTTTCTTCTTTCTTTGCCGCGCACTGGCACTAGGACTCCTAACACAGGTACACCAGAAAAGAAAGAAGCGTCGAGTCGATCTTGTTAACAATAGGTGGCGTAGACCATAGTGGGAAAAGTGCTTTCCCGTACCATACGTCCAACTAACAGTGACATTACAGTCGTATCTGCAAGAGAGAGAGAGAGAGAGGGAGAGAGGGAGAGAGGGAGAGAGAGAGAGAGAGAGAGAGAGAGAGAGAGAGAGAGAGAGAGAGAGAGAGAGAGAGAGAGAGAGAGAGAGAGAGAGAGAGAGAGAGAGAGAGAGAGTTTTTGGTATGGGATTTGTAGTTTCTGCGGACTTGATCAAAAGCGCGCGCCCAAGTTCGAGCGGAGCGACGACTCGGAACGCGCTCCGCTGGGGGCAACGCGCATCACATGGCTTCCGTTCGCCCCGGCACGCTCCCGCAAGAGGTTTGCGACGCCTGGCTGGAAGCGCTCGACAACGACGAGGTGACACACCACTGGGCGAGCTACAAGTGGGTCGACATCAACAAGGTGCCGTCCTCTGCTGCCGCCTCCGCAGACACGCTGCTCGGACAGACAGTCACGCTTGTCCGGACGCGCCTCGCGGCGACGCTGCCCGGCTTCTCCGATGGCTGGCCCGAGGTTGCCGGCATCGAGACGTGGATCAACCCGCGCACCGCCGGCCGGCCCTTGCACTTTCACTGGGACTGCGACGAGTTCCGCGGCCGCCACCACAGAGGCCTGGCATGTCCGTGGATATCAGTTGTATGCTACCTTGCGTCAGATGGCGGGCCGACCGTGGTAATTGAACAGCGGCCGAACGAAAAGTGGGGCCGCGAGGTGAGCCACACGGCCTGTTGGCCGCTTGCGGGCAGTGTCATGGCCCTAGAGGGCGACTGCTTGCACGGCGTGATCCCCGAGCCGGGGAAGAGCGAGAAGGGGATGCCTTCCCGATTCACGCTCGTGCTCAACCTCTGGAAGGAGCGCCCCCTCAATGCGATGCCGGTGCTGCCCGAGTTCGACCCTCCGCCGGTCGACCACTCTGGAGCGGCGGCGGCGCGTGCGCCGGTGGTGCTCACTCTCACCGAGGAGAGCGCGAGCAAGGAGGGAGCGCCACCTCCGTCGGGCGACGTGGCGCCAGAGTCTGAAACGAAGCAGGCCGACTTTGCGGAGTTCCGCGCCATGCTGGGCATGTTCAACGGGCGCGGCGTGCTGGTGCTCCGCCTCCCGCCGCTGTACTGGAAGTCGTGGACGGCGCGGCACGGCGCTGACCAGATCCGGTTCACCCAGCCGGTGCTGATCACAGACCGTGAGCAACTGGGTCGCAAATCCGCTGCCACGCCCGACCAACGCGCCGGCGCTGAGCAGCTGGACTCGCTTTCTGCAGATCGGAGCAGCGCACGGGCGAATCCTGTCAAGCCGACACTTGCCCCGGAGGGCGTCCTCCCGCTCCTCTTTGACGAATCCATGTCGATGACGATCCTCGAGGACGACGCCGGCACCCAACAGAGGCCGGAGGCGATCCGCGGCAAGATCGTCGGCATCTACTTTTCCGCGGCCTGGTGCAAGCCGTGCCACAGGTTCTCACCGGTGCTCTCCAAGCTACGGGCGGCGCACGAGGAGGACTTTGTTGTCGTGTTTGTTAGCAACGACCGCAGCGAGGCGGAGATGAAGCGCTTCTCGGATGGCAAGGGCTTCCTGCGGGTCCCCTTCACCAGCCGCCGTCGGCAGTGGCTGCATCACCGGCTGGCGGTCAACATGGTTCCGACGCTCGTCATCGTCGACGGCAGCACCGGCGAGGTACTCACGTCGTGGGGCCGCGCGGCGGTGCTGCGCAACCCTGAGGGCTGCGTCGAGTCGTGGAAGGCCGGCGGGAACGGATGCAGCTGGTCGAAGATGGTGACGGGCACCGATTGGGGAGAGGAGTCCGCCGCCTCGTGTGGGGTGGGAGGCGCCTGCCTCGTGCAGTGAGGGAGGGCTGAGGCCTGAGGACAGCATCTCGTCGGAGTTCAGTTGTATCGTGATCGTTTCCATTTCGTATTCATTTAGCCACGACGCACGACCACGAGAGCGCGGCGCGGCGGGGGCGCCTCGGTCCTCGCCCTCGGCGCTCGGGCGTCGGCGGTCGGGCCTCGGCGCTCGGGCCGGGCGGGGCCTGGGCGCTAGGGCGCTGGGGGCCTCGCCCTCGGCGTGCGGAGGTGGGGAGAGATCAGGATGTGATTTTTTGACACAACATGCAGCAGAATGCTGAATGCCCTATAGTGTACGGTTCATAACGCACACGAGAAATCATCGACCAAAATGCAAGTCGATGAGTAAAGTAAGTATGCGCCGTAAATTTGTACGCGGCTCAGCAGTCCTGCGGCGGCGGCGCGGCGATGCCCTGCCGCCGCTCGTACCACCGCCGCCAGCCGCCGTAGAGCTGCGGCAGCGCCACCACGAGCGCGAGCCGCAGGAGCGGCCGCGGGTCGGCGCGGGTGGTGTCAGCGCCGAGCGCGAGGTAGATTGCCAGCTCGAGCACGCAGATGGTCGCGCCGAGGAAGTCGCCCATCACGCCGCCGAGCACGGAGCGACCGTACTCCCCCGCGACCGCCGTGCCGCCAGCAGCGACGAGGAGGGCGCGGTTCGCTGCTGCGGCGGGAAGGAGCGCGTGCGCCACCGCCGCCGCGGTGGCCAGAGCGACGAGCACGCGCCGCAGCCCGAGCAGCCGGCGCGACTCGCCAAACCAGTTGTAGTACTCGCCCTTTGCGTCCTCGTCGTCGACGACGTACGCGTAGCAGTAGATGAGCGGCGCCGCAGACGCCCTCGCCACGCACTGCACGACGGCCGGGCGCTCAACAGGCGGGGCGGGAAGCGTGTCGGAGATGCCCAAAGGAGGTCTCAGGGGAGTGTCTGGAGGAGGCGTCTAGGAGGCGTCTAGGCGTCTAGGAGGCGTCTAGGAGGCGTCTACTAGGAAGCGTCTAGGAAGTGGCCACCTGCGCGACGACCAGGCACGGCCCGGCGCCCGCCGACCCTCCGACCGCCCACACGCTCGCCCCTCCGGCGCCGGCCGCCCCGCGGCCGAGCTCTGCGAGGAGCGCCGCCTTGGCCACCACCCACATGCACCCACCCATGGTCGCGTACCTGCAGACCGGGGCGGCGCGGCAGCTGGATAAGGAGGTGCGGTGCTGTGTGTCCCGCGCCTCGTGCGTCAGTACCAGTGGACACGGCGGCGCACAGCCGAGTAGCCGTGCGGGCCTCAAGGCCTTGCTGCAGTCACTGAAGGGTGCCTGGACGCCGCATCTACATGGCTGGCGCACGAGCCGTTCCGCGAGTCTCGCATGATCTTGAGGATCTGCGACTTTGTCCATCCGCCGCCAAAGCCGTCGAGCGTGTCGCAGAGCCCGTCCTCGTGGAAGCACCCCGTCAGCCACAGAGTGCCCGCCATGGAGACGGCGGCGGCGACGAGCGGCGGCCAGAGGCTCGCGGCGGCGTCGTAGAAGGCGGCGGCCCACGCGCCGATCAGTGCGCCGATGAGCGGGAAGTGCGCCATCGACCGCATCAGATAGCCCGGGTGGTGGTCGCACCAGCCGGGGCAGGGCAGCCGCGTCAGGAACATCACGCAAGTCCAGAAGCTCCGCAGCTCGCTGGCGACGAGGCCGTCGGCGCGAGCCGCGGCCTCAAACTCGTCGAGCGGCGTGCGCTTCGCGGTGCCCGTGCCTCGCGCCGCCACCTCGGACCGATCGATCATGCTCGTCGCGCCCGCACCAAAGCCGTCCGACGAGGCGACGCGCACACCGTCGGGCTGGCTCCCGCCAGAGGCTCTGCGTCGGCGCGGGCTCTTTGCCGGTCGGCCTTCCGCAGCCGCGCGGAGCCTGGCCGCCGTCGGGTTGCCGAGAGCGTTGTTTGGTGCCATCGAGGATTGGTGGGATTAGGGCAGCAACCCGACGGGCAAACCCCGCCCCGCTCGGAGGGCGTGCACCACACGACCTAGCCCTGCTCGCAGCGCTAGCAACCCGCTTTCTTTGTTTCGCGCTTTCTTTCTTTTCTGCGCTCTTCTTAAAAGCGGAGGGTACAGGTCCTGGCTTCGGTTTCGCAACAGCTTCGTTTTCACAACACGGCCGCCTCGCGACGCCGCGCCGTCGTGCAGATCGTGCCCGAGCCGTCCACAAGGCCGCCGGCACATGTGCCAATGTGTGCCCGGAGCGCAGGGAGTCGATGGGTGCCGCAGTCCAAGCGATCACTGCACTGCAGTGCTCGCTCGCACTGCGGCGCTGCGCCACGGCGGCGAAGCATGTCTGGACTTCAAGGACAGTCAGTGCTTCTCCGCTGCTCGAGGCTTGCGGCAAGGTCCAGGCCGACCACACGGAGCACCCGAGGCAGCTGGCGTGGCCTCACTCATGACCTGTGCTACCCGTCGGCGGGGCCAGCTGCGGTTTCACAACGCGCCTCATTTTTGGCACCCTCCTGCTAGCCGCGCATGAGTAGGGAGACCGTGTGTGGTGTCTTCGCGGCCTAGAGCACCCTCTTGGCAGTCTATATTCCGGATTTTAGCCCTCCTGTCGCATCTGGTGAGCCGTACCATAGCGAGGACCAAACGTGTTGTGAAACCAAAGCCAGGATTTGCACCTGGCTTTACTCTTTTGCGGTTTCGCGCCTTCGCCCGCGCGGCGGCATCTGTAGCTCGTTCTTGTAGCGCGCGAAGTCCCGCGCGGAGTCGTTCGCCCGGACTGGTTAGCTTATGAAGCGCTGTCTGCCAACCATCCCCCCCGGGCTTCAGTCAACCTCCTCGGACGGCGTGCCGATCCTCCACGGCAGCCAGCGTTCCGGCCGTCGCGTGCGCTACACGGTGGCGCCTCTCACGCAGGTAGCCGATGGAGAGGCCGCGGCACTGCCAGCGACGGCCGACCCGCCACGCCGATCGCTGTGCCCGGTCTGCAACAACGTGATGGTGGATCCGGTCGCGCCGCCGTGCGGCCACTCCTTCTGCTCGAAATGCACCCAGACGCTCGAGCACCCGGAGCAGGGCGGGAAGATCGAGTGCCCGACCTGCGCCCGCCCGGCGCTCGCGTCGAGCGTGAGGCCTTCGTCGATGATGTCGTGGCTGCTGGGCGGTGTGCGTGTCCGGTGCACGGCGCCCGGCTGTGGCCACGAGAGTGACCGCTCCTCGGCTGGCGCACACGCCGCCGCCTGTCCTCACGTGCTGGTGGAGTGCCCGCACGCTTCGATGGGCTGCGCGGCCAAGGTGGCTCGCGGCAGCCTCGCGCAGCACCTCGCGGGCTGCCCATTCGAGGCGTGCCAGTCGTTTATGGCGGCGACCCTGCGCCGCCTCCAGGCGCTGGAGGCCGACCGCGACCAGCTCCGCAGCGAGGTGGCCACCCTTCGCAACGCCGTCCGCTGGAGCGAGGCCAACCAGCCGATGCCGTGTGCCGACTGCCGCATGCTCTTTGTGCCCCGGGCCGACGAGGAGCCGGAGCCCGCCCCTCCCACCGCGCCCCGCGCGTCCGCCGCGCCGCCACCGCCCTGCGTCCCTGCGGACGCCGCCGATCCCGTCACGACCTTTCGGCCGTGGCCGGTCCGGGCTGGCGGCGGCGGCACTCCGGCAGCGTCGAGGGAGGGTGCTGCGGCGGCGGCGGCGACGATTCGCGCCGGCTGCGTCGCGGGAGGGTGCTGCGTCCACCGGCGCGACGAGGAGTGGTACGCAGACTTTCGGCAGAGGAAGATCCGCTTCCTCCGCGAGGCTGCCAGCGCCAAGCCGCCTCCGGGATCCCGCTTGAGCTTTGAGCACCAGGAGCCCTCGTTGTGAGCGCGCAGTGGCGCTCGGCCATCTCGGTTCTGCGCACTCTCTTGATCTAGGGGTGTACTCAAGCGCCTGCTTGGGAGGGCGGGCTGGAGGCGGCGGCGCGGGATGGGGGGGTCAGAAGATCAGAATTGAGAAAAGTGAGAGGGGACATCGGTGTGGGCACCTATCGTGCTCGAGCCTGGGGAGTAACCCCACACGAGATATGAGTGGCTAGGAATAGTAAAAGTCTGGACATTTCCGAATTTTCCGAAGCCGTGTAACGTTCGCCGGATACACCGGAATCCCGAATCCGCGAGACACATACCTCATACGTGCCGGGCCAGCCCACGGTCGTCGGTCGAGCCGCGGCGTGCCTCTCGCGCGTGCGCGTGCGCGTCACTGCTCACTGGTTGGCCGCCGGCGCGCACGCCGCCTCGTAGCAGAGCACGGGCTGGCGGCAGAGCGCGCAGGTCGCCGCCTCGCCGCACGCGATGCGGGAAGAGCTTCACATCACGTTGATCGAGATGACGCGCGCCTTGAGCGCGTTCTTGGGCGTGGGTCCGCCCTTTGGCTTGTGGGCGACACGAGGTCGTCGACGGCGAAGACGTCGTGCATCGACATCGCGATGCGCTGCTCCTGCGTATCGCTGGAACCAGCCCTGCGTCCAGTCGCCCGCGCCGTGTTTCTGTGCCGGCCACTCGCGCATCTCGACGCACTGCTCCGCGCCCGTGTCGACGTGTGTGGAACTGGATCGGCGCGACCGTGTGGGCGCGCAAGACGATATATGTTAACGCAAGCCCTTGGCGGCGCGTTGCTGTTCGCACCCGGCGGCCATGGCGGTGCGCTGCATCGCCATCAGACTGCCTCGGCGGTACAGCTTTGCGTCGCCCCTGCCTTGGAGCAGCAGCTCCTCGAGCAGACTCTTTGCTCCGGGCGTGAGAAGCGACTTGTTGCTATGCGTGGGCATGCCGTCGATCAACGAGCTGTCCTCTGGGCCGCCGAGCCAGTCGGTGTGGTGCCTCAGCTGCACGAGCACCTCGCCCAGCCGCTCCACCACCCCGACGACGTCTGCCCGGTCGAGGTTCGCCAGCGCGCAGTCGAGCCGGTCCCCATAGCTGCTGCAGCCCGCCAGGCCGGTGAGATAGCTCGACTGAAGCTCCCTCCCCGCCCAGAGGAGCTGATTATCACGGCGCAGGACAACCTCCGAGAGCGACGCTCCCGCCCAGCGCCGCCGCTTCACCTCGTGCGACGCAGAGCTGGAGGCGCGCACGTGATCAAAGTAACTCACGAGCAGCGCTTGCGGGTCCCGAAGCACAACCAGATAGAGGGGGCGCTGCGCCTCCACCGCCAAGGACCAGCCGAGGGCGCGGTGGCCGAAAAGGACCTTGGCGTTGACGGAGCCGCCGCAGGAGGGTGCGACGGGCTCGTTCCACGGCTCCCCCTGCCGATCTTGGTCGCGGCACATCCAGCTCACGCTGCTGCTCGCACATCGCGCGGTGATGTAACCACGTATGCTGGATCCGGCTGTCCGTGGAATGTGCACGTGTTGAATCGGCACACCTGAGGCGTGACCGGGTTGGTCGTGCCTCCGGCTGAGCGCGCAACTGTCCTCCCCGAGCACGCTGGTGCCACCCCCAGGGTCCGGCAAGTGCCCAAAGGATCCAAAGGTCCGCACGAGGGACTCGTCTCGACTCGAGGGCGTCGAGCCACTGCGGCCGTTGCCGGGTTTGTGCCACGAGCGTGGCGGCGCACTCGGCGCAAGGCGGTCGGGGGCACCCCCGTCGTCCGTGTGACGGCATGGCAAGCGGTTGTATCTGGGCGGCGGCAAGGGAGCAGAAAGCCGTCCGATCCAGCGCATCAGCCGCCTAGTGACGTCTGCAGCACCAAATGCCTTGACCGTCCCCTGCCAGCTGCTCCCATTTGACGCGTGCGCCTTTGCGGCGCAGTGCACGTTGTACAGCCGCAGGAAAGGGCAGGCGTTGAAGGCCTCGAAGCCGTAGAGCTGCTGTAGAGTCGCCACAAACATGTTCTCCGCGCCCATCGCATTCATCGGCCAGTGCATCCCGCACAGCCTCCAGCGAGGAGGGCGCAGCAGGATGGCGTCCCAAGCGTATGGCCTGCAGTGCTCGACAAGGAGGGCAGCGGCCTCGCTCGACGCGCCCTCCGCGTAGTAGTGGTGGCGAAAGTGCGCGGGCGACCAGTGGCAAGACAATCGTGTGTCTGGAGAGAAGTACTCCGCGTTGAGCACATCTGACCGAGAGGCCCGGCCTTTGGTGCGGTTGGTCGCGGCGCCCTGGCCACCGGCCTGGCGAAGCCGAAAGGAGCACGGTCGCACGCAGTGCCTCTCGGTCCTTCGGATGGTCTTGATGCACTCGCTTGAGATTACATCCCGGCCGGCGTGCGCGTTGATGCTCTGCTGTATCAGCTGCGTCGGCGCAGTGCTGCTGACGGCGAACGCCGTGCGGGGGCCCAGGTGCTCGACCCAGTTGACGCTTCGGACGTCGTGGGCATCGAATACCATGTCGGGGTTGGCAAGCGCTACGGGTCGGCCCACGAAGTGTTGAGAGGCGTACTCGAGCATCTCGTCATAAAAGGGCTGGTGATCGGTCGGGCGACAGACGATGCTCGGCGAGTCCAGCGCCCGCAGCAGGTCGATGCAGCGGCGCTGCTCACTCTCCTCAAAGAGCACGTGAAGCTGCGCAAACGCGCCGGAGCGAGCATTCAGCCGCATCGCGGCAATCGTCTCTGCCGTATGCGCCTCGCCCTCCTTCCAGACAAAGTTGACGACCAGCGCGTGGAGCGCTCGCTGCGGCCCGCCGCTCGACTCGTCGGCCGGCTCTGCGACAGAACCGCTGGCCGCCAGGAGATAGCCGCTCGTCTCGACAGCGAGCCCGCACTCTGTAACGTTAGGGCTCGCCTCTTTGGACATTGGCGCGAGCCCCCAAACGGCAGGGAGGACGCCGTGCAAGCCGGCCGGCCCGCCAACGTTGAGAAACTCAAGGTGAAGGTGCAGGTGGTGGCGCTGCCTGTGCTCGACCACGCCCGGGCCGGCAGCCCTACTGCTTGCTCTGGCCTGCACGCGGATCTCGAGCCCTGACTCGTGCGCGAGGCTGACCCCCACGGTTTCAGCGGGAACGCGCCCGATGATTCTGCTCGAGTCGCTCCACGCCGTCACCGTGACATTTCCGATCAAGGCCTGCCCCTGATGCGTCATCAAGGTACCGTTGACGTCGACCGCGAGCATGCGGAGCGCAGAGAGGTCGGAGTTGACCGCCAGCAAACCTTCTGGCTGGGCCCTGATCACCACCACGGTTTGGCCAGCCCTGGCAATGCGCACCGACTGGATCCACCGGCCACCCGTGGCCGAGTCCGCGGTGCCAAACAGCTGCGTGCCACTGTCCTCAAACAGCTTCACCTCACGCCCGGCTGGCAGCCAGTACCGCTCTCTCTCGGGCGGGAGTATATAGCTTGTGGCCGCTCCATCCACCGGCGGATGCGCGCTGAGCAGGTGGCTCAGCACCGCCAAGGTCCTTGAGCCCCGGGAGGCCTTACTGGCCGTCAGTCGCCGCATCAATGACCATGGCGTTTGGAATTCTCAGCAAGGTACAGGAGAGCGGCTGGTTCGTGGAGGAGCATATACACGTCGGCACACGCACACGCGTAGACGTGCGTCCCTAACTTCACTTAGCACTTGAGCACTGGATAGGGTCGATTCCGCGTGGCACGGGACCCCTCGATCGTCTCGCTTCACTTGTTACTTGAGCACCAGAAGAAGTCACAACGACACTCCGACGCACATCACCGGGCACTACCGGCACCGGCAAGGTTTTTCCACTTTTGGTACTCAACATGCTTACGCTCGGCGCCTCCAGTACGGAGCCCAAGCGCGGCGGTACTCCAGCACAATATTCGTCGGTTTCCGTGGGCGTACTAGGGCCTCGGTTTGGGCCGCGGCGCATTCGGATGATTCGCCCCGTTCTGCCAGCCCCTGACATTCATTGCCGCCACCGCCGCGGCGCGCTGGCTGCGCCGCCTCGCGACGCAGGTGGCCCAGGCTACGTACGCGAGGATGGCAACGCCGAGGATCACGCACGTCACCGCGATGGCGATGAAGATGGTGACCCAGTCCACCTCCTCCTGCACGTCTGCGTCGCGGTCCGAGCCCGGCATGTCGCCGGGCTGGCCCTCCGCGTCGCCGAGCTGCGCCAGGATCCACCCCCGGTAGGAGGCGACGCGCGTGTACACGCCGGGGAAGCCCGCCTGCGCGCACCCATTGCCAAAGCTGACGATGCCGACGAGCGAGTAGCCCCCGCCGGGCGCGTACCCAAAGAGCGGGCCGCCAGAGTCGCCCTGGCAGCTGTCGATCTCGCCCTCGGCGTACCTACGAGCCGTGTTACGAGCACCTCGTAAGCCGGATGGCCAGCAGTAAAACAGCTCGGCAGGTTGGCGCACAACGCCCATATCGGCGCATCTCGGCTCATCTCGGCTCATCTCGACTGATCTCGGTTCATCTCGACTCATCTCGGCTCATCTCGGCTCATCTCGGGCCATCTCGGCTCATCTCGTACCCCGCGCAAATCATGGTGTCCGGAATGGGGAAGTTATAATTGCTGCTGCACGTCGGCTGCCCCACCACGGGCACGGTGGCCTCTTGCAGCGAGTACGCTCCCAATCCGCCCTCCGAGAGGAGGCCCCAGCCCGCGATTTTGAGGCATGTCCCCTCGTCCTGCCGCTCGGTCGCGCCCGGCCCGTCGAGCGCCGCGATCGGGTCGCAGGGCCCACCGCACCAGTCTCCGTTGACCGGCTCCTTCAGCCGGATCAGCATGAGGTCGGCGCCGTTTACGAAATCGTCATTCCATTCAGGGTGCCGCCGAAGAAAGTCAACCTCAAAGATTCTATCGTTTGCGTCGTTTCCACGGTAGTGGAGTCCTACGCTGACTTTTAGCGGGTTCCCCGTCACTGGCGTGCAGTGGGCAGCGGTGAGCACCCACTGCGGCGCGATGAGCGTGCCGCCGCAGAAGTGATTGCCCTCGCCGGGGCCCTGCCGAAACGAGACGAGCCAGGGGTACTGCTGGGGCGCCGCCGGGGCGCCGCCGACGATCCGCGCTGTCACGGGCGGGAGCTCGCACGGAGTGACGCCCGTGGTGGAGTGGGCAAGAGCAAGCATGGCCGAAGGGCGAAGGCCAACAAAGGAGGGTCTCTGCGCCGCCACTTGACTTCAGCTGGTTTTTTTTTCTGTTTTCTTTTTATTGCGCGGCAAGTCCCGAGAATCACTTCTGCGCTACCTCCGACCTCAGACCCAGGGCCGCGCCCCCTTGACAAAGACCTGCGCCGCGACGCCGAGCTTGCCGTTGGCGAGGAAGAAGGCGTCGCGCACAAACTGGGGCAGCGTGCCGGCGCCGCCGCCCGCCGTCTCCATCGCGCCGAGCAGCCGCGACTCGAGCTGCAACGCGGTGACCGGCGCGCGCCGCAGCAGCGCGTAGCTCTGGAGCGGGCCCATCACCCTGGCGGCGAGGCCGCCGGCTCGTGCAGCGGCGAGGCGGTCGGCGAGGCAGTAGCCGTCCTGGATCGCCTGGTTGGCGCCCTGGCCAAGGAAGGGCGCCATCGCGTGCGCCGCGTCGCCCAGCAACACCGCGCGCCCGCCGCGCGACACCCACGGCGCGGTCGCGTCGTGCTCGTACACGCCTACCGACGGCGGCACCCAGCGCTGAGCAGCGGCGAGACATGGGCGTCCGTCGCCGCGCTCGCGTCGCGCCGAGCTCGAAACAGCGCTCACACTGCTCGGCGACGGAGACGACCTCGGCCGGGATGCCCGCGCGCCGCAGCCGTCCCACGCAGTCCTCGCGCACGTCGCTCGCCTCCCAGTTCGAGTTCTCCGGCGGGGCGGCCGAGCCTACTGAGCGGCTCGTTGATGAGACGAATCGAGGACGGGCGGACCAGCCGAGGCAGCGCAGCGGTCGAGCCGGCGGCGCGGTCGGCAAACACGACGGCGACCATGTCCGACGTCGCGCCGTCGGCCGCGCCGGTGCCGTACGAGCCCGTGAGCGCGTATACGCCCTCGCCAAACCACTGGTGAAACTCGCCCTCGGAGCCGGCGGGCCTCGCCCCTCCCGCAGGCACCACGCCAAACTGGACGCGGATGCCGCTGTACTCCGGCGGCGTCGCGCCGCCGCCGCCCTCCGCGGCGTGGCTCGCCGCGACGTGCTCGCGCACGCGCGACGAGAGGCCTGCGGTGTGACTGCAGCGTGGTTGCGGGGTGGTTGCGGGGGTGGTTGCGGTCTGCGGTGTGGTCGCGCAAAGGCGCGCGCTGTGCCACGGTGCGATGTGCGGTGCGGTGAGTGGCGCGGCGCTGTGCAGTGTCGCACCGTCGGCGCCGACGACGAGGTCGAAGCGCTCCGCCGCGCCGCCCTCGAAGAGCAGCTCGACGCCCGCATCGTCCTCGCGGAGTGACTCGAGCCTCTGCCCAAGCCGCACCGTGCCGACGGGCAGCGAGTCGGCGAGGATGCGCTGCAGCGCGTCGCGCATGATTGAGAAGGCCTGCGGTGTGCCGTCGGGGGCGACCAGCGCGGGCTCGGCGCTCACGAGCGACTCGACGTCAATGTCGAGCAGCTCGAACCCGCCGCTCTTCCGGCTCAGGATGCGCCGCACCGGCAGTGCGCTCGCCTTCATTTGCTCACCCAAGCCCAGCCTCGCTAAAACGGCGGCACCGCCGTTGATCTGGATACCGCCGCCGACACCAGGCTTGAGCTCACTTCTCCTGTCAAACACCGCAACCTCCTCCACGCCAGTGTCGAGCGTCTGCAGCGCACGAGCCAGCGCGAGACCACCGATTCCGGCGCCGACCACCGCCACACGGCGAGGCGAGGTTGGAGTCGGGCTGGCCACGAGCGAGGCCACGGGCGAGAGAAACAAAATGCAGACGCATGGTGTCGGAATGTTCATCGCAGATCAACCCCGGCCGGCGACAAGAAGAATTTTGAGACGGCGTGACAAAAACAATTTTCGGCCGCGACAACATAAACGACGAGAGTGGCTAGAATGTATCGGAAAACCGGAATGTACGAAAGAGCTACATACACTGAAAAGAAAGCACGCGAGCAACCGGCCCATCGGCCGCAACGACCTCGGACGGGCTATTAGCCCGCCACGAGTGGTCGAGTGGTCAAGTAAAACTTTGCCTTTCGTAAAAGTTGCCCGAGTGGTCTGTGGGGAAAAAACGAAAACCGAGACGGACTTCTTGAACGGCCGGGCAACATGTCTTCCTTACTATTATTAATTGATACTTTTTGCACGGCTGAGCCCCCCCCCCCCCCCCCTCCCCCGCGCCCACTCCCTGCCCTCTCCCGCCACGCACTCCGTCAGAGCCCCCTCCCCTCTTGCACAACAGGAATTTTGACAATTAACAAGGTGATAGGAAGGCACAGCTCTCAATGAGAACGATGGGCTTGCCCATCCCGGAGTGGTTCGATCCCACATGAATCCGAGACGGTGACGGGTGCGTCTCGGTGATCTCAGGCCCAGTGAGGTAGTGCATCAGACTATCCCGGATCCTGCTGACCAAGCTCCTCTTGTAGCTCGATCGGTCACACCGCCATCGCCGTCGGGGAGAGGGGGGACGACACTGCTTCGGCAGCGTGCACCTCGATCCTGTACCGTGTTTGTTATGACCCCCCCCAATGAACATACCAGTGAGGGAGGGCGAGACGATCGAGGGGTCCCGTACCACGCGGAATCGGCCCTATCCAGTGCTCAAGTGCTCGCCCATACTGAGTTGTTTTTCCTTCTTTCATTGACGGAATCCTGGATCGTAACCTACCGGAAGCGTCGCGAGCGTGGTCGAGCTGCTTGGGGCCTGGGCGCTGGCAATGAGGCCCACCCAGCTGTTAGCGCTGCTCGTGGCTCTCCTCGCCGCTCCGTCCACCGCCATCGCCCCGCTGTCGCCATCCCTACGCAGCCGCCTGCTGTCGGGCAGGGAGAGGCGCGCTGTCCGGAGGGGCCGAGCCAATGTGATTCGCGCTGCGGGCCCCCGCGACCCGCGCGACGACGACAGCAAGGATTCCTCGCTGTACACCAATCCACTCGACGGCGGCGTCGAACTCGACGCAGTGACCGTCACGGCGCTGCTGGGTGCCGCGATCGCCTTCCAGTTTTTTGTCGTTGCAAACCTATGAGGCCCATGCCATCGGGGCGCGCCCCGCGGTAGGCCGCGGCGCGATCATAGCTTCCATGAAGCATGTGTGAACATGACTTGCGGCGTGCGTGTGCGCCGAACCTACGTTGGAGTCGCTTTGTCGGGTGCTTCGCCCACTGTGTGTGGTGTCCGTGTGCGTCTTGTTGTTGTCTTGTTGTTTTTGTCTCTCCATTATTTATACGAGGCTGGCACATCTCTGCCCCCCCAGAGACGCCATGAATGTCTGAAATATCTCTGCTGCGTGCTGGCTCTGCGCGCCGGTCTACGTCTAGGCGACGGTCGGACGGGACGAGACCGAGAGCCGAGCTCATCACTGCTCAGCGCTGAGGACGAGCGGTCTGCCCCCCAGCTCACAGCTGCCGCTCGTACTCGGAGGCGCTCAGCTCGTGCAGCGGCGTCGGTGCCTTTGCCGCCCCCTTCGGGCTCGCGGGGATGGTCGAGTAGAGGATGGTCGCGGCGATGACGAGTGTGGAGCCGGCGAGGAAGGTTGGGCGGAGGGAGAAGTTGAAGGACGGGATGAAGAGAGAGACGACCGAAGAGATGACGATCGAGAGCGACGTAGCGAAGCCTACGCGACACGCGCCGCCGCCCGTCCAGTGGCCGCTCCCCCCCCCCCCCCCTCCCCAGGATGGCGGCGCACCCTTGACGACATTGTCGGCGTACTTCATCACCAGCGCGACAAGCAGGCCGCCGAGCGAGACCTGGGGGAGATCGGCGCGGGGAGGAGCCGAGAGGTGACCGGGAGGGCAGCCGAGAGGTGCCCGCCCGGCGCTGCGCTCCTGCAGGACGACGAAGCTGGTCACCCAAGTGTAGCCCTGCAGGAAGCCGCCTGCGCAGTGCCAGCGCGCTGCTTACGAGGCGGTCCGGGAGGTGTGTGCGGAGTGGAGGCCCGGCAGGGAGGCGCCCGCGCGGATGGCGCCGCCGTCGAGCCACGCGATCTGGCAGGCGCCGATGAGCAGCGACAGCGAGCCGAGCTGCACATTCCGCAGCCAGATCGGGACCTGTGTGTGGCAGGAGGCGGTGGTCTGTAGTCCGCAGCCAAGTCGGGACCGGCGCCGTCCGCTTGGCGACCCGCTCGGCTGGTCTCGGCCCATCTCGGCTGCTCTCAGGCCATCTCGGGCCAACTCGAGCCGTCTCGGGCCATCTCGAGCCGTCTCGGCCTCCCCTCTCACCTGCGCTGTCCGCTTGACGATCCTCTCCAGCCACACGCCGGCGAGGCCAGAGAGGAAGCACGCCGACGTGACGGCCGCCTGCAGGAGGCTCCGAGAAGGTGTGGGGAGGGGAGGGTACCCCCGAGGAGGGGCGGGGTGGCGGAGGGGGAGGGCCGCACCATGCCGCGGATCGGGCTGGTCGAGGAGAGGGGCCCGCCTACCCACGCAGGAGTTGGTCTGTTGAACCGTTGAGTGGGACCGTTGAGTGGGACCGGGCTGGTCGAGGAGAGGGGCCCGCCTAGACGCCAACAGCAGCCTGCTCTGGTCGGGATGCCCCCGCTCCTCCCGGCGGGGGCTGGTCGAGGGAGGACCGGCACCGCCCGACGGCAGCTGCACAAAGACGACGCCTGAGACCTCGGGCGATCTCGGGTGATCTCGGGCGATCTCGGGCGATCTCGGGCGATCTCAGGCGATCTCGGGCGATCTCGGGCGATCTCTGATGATCTCAGGTGATCTCAGTCGATCTCGGGTGATCTCGGACCGAGGAAGAGAATCCCCAGCGCCACCCAGCGGCGGAGGGAGATGTGGCGCTTCAGCAGCGTCACCTGCCGGCAAGAGGGGTCCGCGTGAGGCGGTCACGTCTGGCGCGGGTGCGGCGGAGGCCGCGCGCGCCGTGAAGAAGGCTGTCGTGAGCAGCTTCAGCTGGTATGCGACCTGGGCAGGTGAGGGTGAGGGTGAGGGTGAGGGTGGTGGTGGTGGTGGTGGTGGTGGTGGTGGTGGTGGTGGTGGTGGTGGTGGTGGTGGAGAGGGTGGTGATGAGGGAGAGGAGGGGCATGCCTGGCAGGTAGCGGCGTCGAGGTGCGTCGTCGCGAGGTAGAGGAGGTTGTTTTGCACGAGGTAGAGCAGCGCGGGCACGCCTGCATCTCCGGCGTGTCACGCGTCTGAGGCGTCTCTGGGGCGTCTCAGAGGCGTTTGTCGAAGGCGTGTCGGAGGTGGCGCGCGCCGACGAGGAGAGTGTCTCTCCAGTTGACGAAGACGCCCTGCCATATGGTATTGCACGCGCCCGGGACGCCCTGCTGCAGCGCGAGCACCGCCACGGAGACGAGGATCTTCACGACCTCAGCCAGGAGCACCGCCGTCGAAGCGAGGTACTTTGGCTGGTCCGGCAGCCGCGAGTATCGCATCGAGAGCATCTGGCACGCATTCTGCACCGCTAATGTGCAGAGCACCGCCTGGCCTACCGCCGCCTTTGGGATCCGGGGGCCAGCCGGCTTGCTCAGCCGCTTGCCCGACAGGTGGAGCGGCAGCAAGGGGAGACGGTCGCGATCCGCGCGAGCGAACATCGCGCACGCGGTCAGGAGCAGCAGCGCGAATTTCATCGGGGCATCTGTGGAGGGCACGGTGGCGGCGGTGTGATCGGTGGCGATGCGTGAGAGCCGTGGCGAGCCACAGGCAAGTGTGGCGCCTGTCAACGCCGCCAGCGCGTGCAAAAAGAATTTTAAAATCGAAGAATTTCACATTACTCGGAATCTGAAAATGTTTTTTTCAGATTACTCGGCGAGCACAGATTACTCGGAATCGAACAAAATTTTAGGATTGTAGATTACTCGGACCGAACAAATATTTCCTCGCAGATTACTCGGCTCGCCTCGGCGCCGGCTCGCTCGGGGTCAGCTGCCGCCGCAGCGAGCAGGCTGGGCCAGGTGAGGGAGATGCGGCCTGCGGGGGGAGGGGGTGCGAGGCTGTTCCGAGACAGTTCCGAGACGGCTCCGAGAGCATGCTGGGCCAGGTGGAGGCAAAAAACGACCCGGGTGCACCCGAGCCCACCCGAGAGGTGTCCCCAAGGGTCTGGGGCCGTTTTGCTAAAAATCGAGCAAAGTCAGCTCCGCCTCAGCGCGTTGCACTCATAGCCCTCGCTCATCGCCACTTGCGCACGGCTGTTCGTGAGCGTGACGCAGCGCATATGCCACTCCCGGCTTCGGCGAAGTGAAGGGCGTCAGGGCTGTCAGCCAGGGGGGGCGACCCTCGCAGCGTCATCCTCGATCGTACACACACGCCGGCAGCCGATGCACCCCGACTCGCTGGTCGACACGCAGGGCTTCTGGCCTCTGCCCCACGCGCGATGCCCCACTGTGAGACCCGGTCGCCCCACACCAGCAGCCTATGCACACCATAGTTCGGCAAAACTCCACGCCGCCGCCTGCGCCTCGATGATGGCGCACAGCTGCGCTGGCGAGAGGCCCGCGACGCGGGCGCCGATGCGGTGGGAGGCCATCGACGGGGAGGTGAAGCGCCTGCCCACGCGGCAAAAGGCTGCACCGCGTCCGGTGCAAGCCCCTACTCGAGTATTTGCCGGAAGATCCGGCGCCGTTCCGGCGCCGCTTATGGGAAGCGGCAAAACATGCAGCACTCAGCCTTCCCTCCCCCTCCCGGATGGAAGTACTACCTGAGCTCGACCGTGCTTGACTTCGCTGTTCAGATGGGAAGCGGTAACCCACGGTGATATGGCCGCATGTGCCTCCTGCCCGGGAGATGTCGTATATAGAGTAAAGTAATCGCCGATCGCAGGGACAAAGCTTCACATGTATAGAGGGTGAACCTTCTTTTGTAGAAGGCTAGGATTGAGAGCAGCCTCGCTCTCAATCCTAGAAGTCGAAGGATTGGGAGCAGCACTCCTCGCAATCGTAGCATCTCTGTGGACTGTGCGATTGTGTGAGCACCTACGCTCGCAATCCTACATCTTCTAGGACTAAGAGCAGCTCCGCTACCAAGGCGACGGGTGACGCCTACTGTACGACTACTGCCAGTGCGCGCACAATCCTAGCAAAGTCTAGGATTGCGAGCAGTACTGCTCACAATCGAGAATCGTCAATCCTAGCAACATGCCTCCGATTGCGAGCAGTGCTGCTCGCCGCAATCCTACATCTATCATCTTGTAGGACTATGAGCGGCTGCGCTCACAATCGTATTAAAGATCCAAAAGATCTGCGCTCACAATCCTAGCAACATGCACCGATTGCGAGGGGACCCGCTCGCAAAGTCGCAATCCTCAGTGCTTAGATTTTAGATGTGCATAGGATTGTGCGAGCGCCGCCGCCGGCGCTCGCGCGCAATCGCACAGACATGCTACGATTGCGAGGAGTGCTGCTCCCAATCCTTCGACGGTTCTAGGATTGAGAGCTCGAGGCTGCTCTCCGAATCCGCCTACGGCCTAGCCTTCTATAGGCAAAAAAGAAGGTTCACCCGCACAGAGCTCAATATCTCTAGGACACGATGTGGACCCAGTCGTTGAGGGAGAGCTGCGGTGCGGCCGACGCGCCGTCGGCCAGCCGCATCCGCTGCCACTCCACAATCTTTGTCTCGACGGTGTCCTTGATGAGGAGCCGCACGCAGCGGGTCTCCTCGCTCTGCCCGATCCGCGCGATGCGGCCTGCCGCCTGCCGCTCGATGCCGGGCTGCAGCGCCGGCTCGAGCAGAAAGACCGTCGAGGCCTGCGTCAGGGTGAGGCCCGCCGCTCCACCGCCGCCCGCGCCAGAGGCGCCGCCGAAGAGGGGGACGAGCAGCACGTCCGCGGAGGCCGAAAAGTCGGCGAGGGCGGCGCGCTTCTTGTCCAGCGAGCCAACGAGCGAGGCAACGCGGACGCCGTTGGCCGCGAGTGCGTCCCCCGCGAGGGTGAGCAGCCGCGTCCAGGCCGAAAACACGACCGCCTTTCCGCGCGCCTCTTTGATCGCGGCCACCTCGATGCAGAGCCGCGTCAGCTTCGTGCCGTACTCGTCGAGCAGCTGCAAGCCCGCCGCCTCGGCCTCACACCCCGCCTCGATAGAGGTGCCGCACTCGAAGATGCCCTCCTCGGTGAGCGGTTTCTTGCACAAGGGGCAGGACCGCGACTCGGAGACCGCCTGCGTGAGGCAATCGTAGCATCCGCCGTGGCCGCACAGCGTCATCCCCCATTCCGTCGCGGCCGAGCGGTTGTCGAGGCAGATCGGGCAAAGTTCGGCGCCCTCGCCCTGCTCCTCCCCTTCCTCGTCGGCGGCGCACGCCTCGTCGGCCGCCCCTCCCGCCTTGCGCAAGTAGCTCAGGCTGCCCGCCTTGTCGCGAAGCGCGCTCGCGGTCCGAGCGACCTCCTTCCTCCGCTCAAGCACGACTCCGCTCACCACAACCGACAGCGCCGCCCGCGCATCCGCCGCCGCCGACTCCTCCGCCCTAGGACGCTTGCCCGCCCGCTTCCGGCCGAGCGGGATGGTGGAAGGCGCAGCAACGTCCTCCGACCCGCTATCGAAGAGGGAACGCACCTCCTGCCGCGGCCGCTCCAGCTTTGCGCCCGCAGCGCGGAGCGTGCGCGCGGCCTCTTCGTCCTTGGCCGCGGAGGCCGCCGTGAGGCACGACTCCGCCTCTTGCGAGAGCTCCCTCAGGATCTCGGCAGCTGCGGCGGCGCACCGGCCGGCGGAGAGCTCGCCCAAGGAGCGCTGCGCCACCGCGAGCATCGCGCGCGCCTTCAGGTGGTTGACGAGCGCGACAGCGTGCTCAGAGGTGGCGCGCGCGACGAGTCGCTCGGCAATCACCGCCTGCGGGAGGCGGCCCGCGCTGGCGGCGCCTGCCGCGCCGCGTGGCCGCGCCGTGTTGACGACGCCTGGGTGGCACGCCGTCTGCCGCACGCGAGTGAGGTCGCCGTTGAGCTGACCGAGCAGCCGCGCCTTCCGGCCGGCGCTCGCCGTAGCCGCGGTCCGCGCATACGCCTTGTGTGAGCGGCGGAGCTGCGCAAGCGCCGACTCGTAGGACGCCCTCTCGGCCGACGACGACGTCAGCTCCAGCGTGGCCCACGTCAGCGGCGGCAGGCTGATCTGCGCCTTGATCGCCGGGTCGGCCTGGCGCCGACGCAGCATCAGCGCTCGGAGCAGCGCGCGCAGCCGGTAGAGGCCGGTGGGCGCCCTCTCCTTGAAGGGCCGGAGCACGAGCGCGTTGAAGGTCTCCTCGGTCGCGAACGGGCGGCGGTTGAGGAAAGCGATCAGACCGGAGAGCTCGGCCGCCTTGGCGTTGATCGGGGTTCCCGTCGCCACCCATGCGAAGCGGCGGCAGAGCTCGGAGCACATCTGGGCCGCCTTGGACGAGGTCTGAGAGACGAGCTGCGCCTCGTCGAGGATGATGCGCCAAAAGCCGAGCGCGCCGAGCGGCAGGTCCAAGCCGCCCTCGGTGCGCTGCACCTTGCGCAGCTCGTCCCTCAGCGTCTCGAAGCTGCAAAAGATGATGTCGCAGTCGGCCACCGGAGGCGGCGGGCTGCCTCCGACGCCGACAAAGAGGTCCGGCTGCGTCGCTGCCAGCACCTCCACCTCGACCTCCACGCCCTCTGCGTGGTCGGCGGCGGCGGCAAGGCTCTCCTCCGATGCCGCGAGGCGCCGCGAGGCGCGCCGTCCACGACCGCCAGCGGCCGCCGCCTCGGCCGGCGCCGCGGCCGACGCTTCGGCCGGCGCCGCCTCCGCCAGCGCCTCCGCCTCGGCGGCCCCGGATGACGCGGCCTGCTGCTGGCGGCGCTTCCTTGCTCCGTCGAGGCCGAGGTACGTGGCGACCTTGAGGGCGCCGTGCTTGAAGTGCTTGCGCGTCTCCTCCTCCCACTGGCCGAGGATGGCGGCGGGCGCGACCACGAGCGTCGCTCGCACCGGCACGTGCTCCCTGGTGAAGCGAGGCAGCTCCTCTACGGCCCAGCCGGCGGGAGCGCGGTTGCCGACGACGAGGCCGAGCAGCTGCAAGCTCTTGCCTAGCCCGACCTCGTCGGCGAGGATGCCGCCGCACGTTTCGGCTCGCGGCGCCGCGTGGAAGGCGGCGGAGCACTCGCCAGTCATCGAGTGGATGTAGAAGAGGCGGCCGTGCGCCGCCCGGATCTGCAGCCACGCCGGGTGGAGGGAGAGCCGGTCCGGCTCACGCTCTCGTTCGATCATCCAGCCGATGCCGTAGTTCTGGAAGGGGTGCAGCCGAGCGCCGTCGGCCAGCGCCGCCTGCACGGCCGTCGACGCGCAGAGGTTCGAGTCCTTGGTGCTGGAGGAGGCGGTGCAGCAGCGCTGCAGCACGTTTGTGAGGTCAAACTCCGCCACCGGAGGAGGGCCGGCGCTCGAGGAGCCACCGGCGCTCGAGGAGCCACCGGCGCTCGAGGAGCCACCGGCGCTCGAGGAGCCACCGGCGCTCGAGGAGCCACCGGCGCTCGAGGAGCAGGTAGCGGAGTAGGAGGGGTCCTCCGGGCCCAAGGCGACGTCGGAGCGAGAGACGGACATGTACCGGTTGAGGGTGTCCGGGTCACAGTCGGGGCCGAGGCCTGCGCCGGACCCCGCCCCGGGCGTCGCCAGGAAGGTGACCAGCCGGCGGAGAGAGCGGAGCACGTCGCGGACGCCGCCGAGCCGCTCGCCGGAGAGCGCGAGCGCGTGCTCCTCTCCGTCGCCGGCAAAGGCGGCGGCTCCAGCCGTTAGCCTTCGATCAAGCTCAAACGCGCCCGCCTCCAGCCGCAGCGTCACTTGGATGATGGCTGGAGCTCCGCCCTCCCCGTCGGGCGGCGGCGTGAAGCGGGCGGCGGCCGAGGCGACGAGGACCTGCATGCAGCCCTTGCTCCTCTTTGCGTGCTGCTCGTCCGGGCACGCCACCAGCGATGGGCAGTCTTCACCCCAGAGGCACTCAACCTCCTCGGCGGTGACGTGGTCGCGGTGCGCGAGCACCTGGTGCAGCTGAAAGAGGCGCCAGTATTGAGCGCGGTCGGCTCCTGGTCCAGACCATTGCGCAAAGACGGACGCCATCGGCCGTGCGCCGCGCCTGAGAAAGCGCTGCGAGATCTTGGTCCTGCAGCCGACGCTGCAACCGTGAAGGCTCGTACAGGAGCACGGCCTCTCCTCCACGTCCGCACGCCGAACGAGGTGCAGGTGGCGCGGCCGCGTCCATGAGTCCTCGTTGCGCTCCTCGCCCATCTCCCAGAGCAGCTCCACGGCGCCGTCGGAAAGCGCACGCTTTGCGGACGCGTCCCAGACGGAGGCGGTGAAACGCAGGTCGCCGACCGCGAGCGGGAGAGGGAGAGGACTCGCAGCCTCCACGCGGGATGGCCACTCGCCGCGGACACGCCGGTGGTCAAGCCGGCCCGTCTCGGCGTCGCGGTACTCTGCGAGCGGATCCTCCAGATCGTTGGCCACGACATCGGCACCACCCTGCATGCTGTCGCGGGACAGCGGCGGGGTGCAGGGCGTAGGGCTGGGTGCAGCGAGAGGCGACAGGGGTACGCGGTACTACGGGGGCGGGGGGTGGTGGTGCCGCAGGTTTTTTTTATTTACTCCATTCGGTTTGGAATTCGGTTTTTGGAATTTAGTGAAAAGAAAGAAAACAAAGGTAAAAAGAAATCCGGTCCGTTCCCGCGCATTCCAGTCGCGTCCTCTCGCCCGTTGCCCAACCACGCACAATGAACGACGACGACCCGACGCTCGCGGCCCTCTCCAGTGCCGTGGACTCGATCGAATCTCGCTACCTCACTTGCGGCCAGTTCTCGATGCCGGCGCCTCTCCAGATCACCGCGTCCGGCGGCCAGACTGCCACGTTCCCGATCAAGCGGGGCGAGCAGCTCACCGAGATCAAGAAGCTGACCGATGTCGCGGCGCCGTCACCGTTTGGCCTCGGCGGCGAGACCGTTGTCAACACCGCCGTGCGCCAAGCCTCGCAGGTGAGCGCGTGCGCCTCGAGCACGAGGGCTCAACACATCACTTCCGCCACCATTCCCTCTCTGTCCGCCGCCACCGCCGCCGCCGCCGCCCCCGCAGGTCATGGGCGACTCGCTGACCTTCGCCGGAGGCTTTGACGGCGCTCTCCCTCCCGCCGTCCTCGAGAAGATCCGCACCGAGCTCGTGCCTGACGCGGGCGCCGTGACGGCCAAGCTGCACAAGGTCAACATCTACGAAAAGGGCGGCCACTTTGCCGAGCACCGCGACACGCCGCGCTCCGAGACGCACTTTGGCTCGCTCGTCCTCCTCCTCCCCGCCTACCACGCCGGCGGCGCGCTCTGCGTCGATCACGCCGGCCAGCGCAAGGTCGTCGACTGGGGCAAGACCGGCGACTGGGCGCCGCGCTACCACTACGGCTTCGGCGCCGACGCGGCCAAGCGGCTCGCCGAGCACACGCCGGCCGGAGTGCTCCGCTGGTGCGCCTTCTTCGGCGACACCAAGCACCACGTCGGCACCGTCTCGGACGGCGTCCGCGTGACGCTCGCGTACGAGCTCTACCGCGACGGCAAGCCCGACCCGTTCGCCGACGCGCTCCTGCAGCGCGCCGAGGCCGTGCGGCAGGCCTTTGCGGCCGTCGTCGCCGACGATGCCTGCCTGCCCGAGGGCGGCACGCTCGGCTTCGAGGCGGCACACCTGTACGAGGAGAAGGAGCTCAGCGCGACCGAGAAGGCGCCCGCCGGAGTCGGTGCGAGGCCCGCGTCATTCTTCTCCTCACGCGTCTCCCCGTGAGCAGGCACTCGCCAAGACGTCGGCCAAGGACGTGAGTGTCAAGAAGATCAAGTCGGGGCTCAAGAACGAGGACGCGGTGCTCGCGGTGGCGGCGGCGGCGGCTGGGCTGCGCGTCGAGACCAAGCGTGTGCTCTCCGACGGCGAGGGCTACTGCGAGCAGCAGTGGGAGCTCGCCAAGATGCCGGCAAGTGACCGCGGCTTCGGGCGCGTGCGCAACTGCGACGGCTGCCGCATGAAGGGCGTCTCGCCGGACGAGATCGACGACTACGCGGCGGGCCACCTCGACGAGGGCATCACGTGGCTCTCGAGCCGCAAGGGCGCGCCAAGCGCCTCGCCCTGACGCCCATGACGTGTCCGTCCATGACACGTACACGTCCCTCGGCCCGCCCCACCCCCATGACGTGTCCGTCCATGACACGTACACGTCCCTCGGCCCGCCCCACACGTCCCTCGTCATGGACGGACACGTCCCTCGGCCCGCCCCACCCCTATGACGTGTCCGTCCATGACACGTACACGTCCCTCGGCCCGCCCCGCCCCAGGCGCCAAGGGCCTCCTCGCCGAGCTCCAGTTCGGAGAGTACTTTGGCAACGAGGCCTGCACCGACACCTTCTACACGCGCACCGTCCTCGTCGTCTCGCTGCCGCCGGCTGCCGAACGCGGCGCCATCAAAGGCGCCCGGCTCACCGCCGACCGCGTCCGCCTCGGAGAGCCGCCCGCCAAGACGCCGGCGGCCTCCGCCAAGAAGCCGGCGGCGGCCTCCGCCAGCGGCGGCAAGGCTGGCGCCTCCGCCTCAGCGAGCAGCTGCGCGGCGCCGCTCAAGCAGGCGACGCTCGGCTTCGGTGGCGCCACGCCCGCGGCGGCGGCGTCCTCCGGGACGGCGGCCGGCAAGAAGCGCGCGGCGGCCGACGCAGGGATCGACAAGGCGCGCGCCACCGCCAAGGCCGAGGACGCGGATGGCAGCGACGACGACGATGACGAGGAGGAGTACGAGGTGGAAGCGATCCTCAAGTCGCGTCCCTCGGGCAAGTCGACCGAGTACTACGTCAAGTGCGAGCAAGTGGCACGGCGCTGCTGTGCTGTGGGGAGAGCTATGTTCACAGCGTGTACCGTGAACAGGTGGAAGGGGTACGACGACCCGGACGACAACACGTGGGAGCCGCGGAAGAACCTGCACGCCGACCTCATCGCCGAGTTTGAGGGCCAGCCGGCCGCCAAGAAGCACAAGGGCGAGGCCGACGCCGCGGCCACGGCCGGCAAGGGCAAGGGCAAGGCCAAGGCCGTCGACGACGACGACGACTACGACGAGGACGACGACGAGGACGACGAGGACGACGACGAGGAGTACGTCGAGGCGGCGCCCTCGGCGGCCTCCGCGTCTCGCTCGTCGTCGGCGCCGCCGTCACTCTTCCCCGCCGCGCCCGCTGCCAAGAACGCGGCCGGCCCGCGCACGATCCACGTGACCGGCGGCCGCGGCAACTCGCGCTGCCAGCAGATGGGCGGCGTGACGACGGTGACGCTCGCCGCGGGCCAGGGGCTGCGCGAGCTCAAGACGGCCATTCGGAAGATTTTTGGCAAGGTGGACTGCCACAAGCTGGGCTCCCTCACGCTCGCGTCCACGGGCGCCATCGCCAAGAAGAACGACCTCAAGGACGGCTGCACGGTGGTCTGCCACTACACCTACGCGCCCGGCGACCCCAGCGCCTTTGGCGGTCGCCGCCGCGGCGGCTTTGGCGGCTTCCGCCGCGGCGGCGGCAGCGACCGCGAGAGGATGCTCTTGATGCTCATGGCCCGCGGGTACGGCATGTTCTGAGCAGCGCGTGCCACCCCGCCACCCCGCCGTTGGGGCTGAAGCGTGTGACCGCGCCGCATCATCATGCGCGTACCCGGGTCTCTCACCCACAGTCGCCCACACAGTCCGCGGTCGCGTGCGAGAGTTCGCTCAAGCCCTTCGTGTTGGGTGTTTGTTTGTTGTGTTGTTGTGCCGTGCCCGTGGTGCCAGGTATCTCAAATTTCTTTTCTTCTTTCGCAAATTTCTTTTCTTCTTTTTGGACTCAATTTCTTTGTTTTTGCACATGTCTCGCTTCCATAAACTCGAGTATACCTGTGCTCCAGTGGGGAAAAAGAAAGAGAGCAGGAAATTGAACTCTGCGTGAATCTCGAAAGGAGGCGCGATGATGGCACGCTGCGAATCGCAACTCGACTCTCGAGACGCTGGACCAAGTCCTGTCTCTGCAGAGTCGCCGTCGATGCATCTGCTCACGAACACAGCCCGCTCGCCTCGCGAGAGAAGGAGCGCGCAGAACCCACCATCGCCGAATCGCTTGCGACGGCCGCACTGGTGGTCAGATGTGGAGCTCTGGTCGTCGTCGGCAGCCGCAAAGGCGAGGCTGTTGCGCCTCCTTCAACAAAGGAGGGCATGCCTCACGCGAGCGGCAACCTGTCGAAGGTGTCCTGTCCTTCCGGCTTCACCTGGTTGTGTATGCTTGCGCGACGCAAACATGCGCACGACGCCTCAGCAGTCATGAAGTCAGAACGCGAGAAGAGTCGGGTTCTGAGATGGCTGTGCTTTGCAGCGATGCAGCGCAAGCCCGACGAGCGCAGTCGTGTCTCGAGGCCGAGGACACCACCACGCTGCACTGCAGCGGGATTGATACAGCTGCTGCTCGTCGCGAATCTGCCTGCCTTCTGTGCCGCTTCCGCACCGCCGCCGCCGCTGCTCCCACCCTCGGGTCCACAGATCACCGTTGCCGAAGCCAACCACGCTTGCGCGTTGAGAGCAGATACGCAGCATGCGGAGTGCTGGGGGGACACCGCTTCCGCCGCATCGCCCGACGTGGCCTACACGCAGATCTCAGCGGGTCGACTCCACATCTGCGCTCTGAGGGCAGACAACAGGCGCGCCGAGTGCTGGGGTAGCAACAGCGCCGGCCAGAGCACCCCGCCGCACAGTGTGGCCTTCATACAAGTCTCTGCCGGCGGAGATCACGCTTGCGGCATCATAGAGGACACGCGGCGCATCGAGTGCTGGGGTGACGACAGCGAGGGCCAGAGCGGCGTCCCCGGGGCTCCATCTCTGCCGCCGCTCTCGCCGCCGCCATCCTCCTCTCCGTCACCTTCGTCACCGCCTCCCTCCGTTCCGCCGCCCTCCCCACCGCCCCCGTCGCCGCCGCCGCCATCGCCACCGCCACCCTCGCCTCCGCCGCCCTCGCCGCCATCCCCATCGCCGCCGCCGCCCTCGCCGCCGCCACCAAGCCCGCCGCCGCCCTCGCCACCACCGCTCTCGTCATCGCCATCGCCGCCACCGCCCTCGCCGCCACCGCCCTCGCCGCCGCCCCCCTCGCCGCCGCCCCCCTCGCCGCCGGGCCCCTCGCCGCCGCCCCCATCGCCCCCACCACCCTCGCCACCA